CCCAAACTCAGAGAGGCTAATTCAGGCACCCTCCCCCTGCCTGACCACTTCTTCAGGGCCACCACGTTGGCTTAGGGGCCCAGCTGATGACTGCCCCCCTTTCCAAGAAACACACAGGAGTAAGGCCAAGACCTTCTGCTCTCAGCTTCTCCCATGACTCACAGCCCCTGCTCAGCACCATCACCAGGAGAGGGGGCTTGGACATACCCTGACCACGGGCCATCCTTACTCTGTCCCTCTCTTCCCTTGGGCCCCCATTCCCTCTTGTCCAGCTCTATAAACCCCTTTATACTGAGGTTTCTCAAGCTTGGCACCACTGACATCCTGGGCCAGATCATTCTTCCTTGTGAGGGCCACCCTGTGCAGTGTGGGGTGTGTAGCAGCATCCCTGGCCTCCACCCACTAGATGCCAGTAGACCCCCAGAGTGACACAAAAAATGTCTCCAGATGTTGCCACAGGTCCTCTGGGGGGCAAAATCACCCGACCCTACCCTAGCTGAGAACCACTGGTGGTCGCCACCACTTCCTCCTTCCTAAGGTGACATTCACTCTCCCCATTCCCCCAAGGAGCAATAGCAGAATGTTTTTCCGAAAATAACCAAACTACATTCATTTACTATTTTCTAAATATTATCTCTGATATTTTCTCTAATCCTCCAAACTGCACTACAAGGTAGTTAATATTAGCTCAGTTTACGAGTGAGGACAGTGAGCACCAGAGTTCAAATAACTTTTCCAAGGGGGATCAGGTTAAGACAAGAGTCTTATCTCACCAAGCCCGCAATTCTCGTAGGGAGTGACAGCTAACCCTCTGTGCGGTGGGTAGTAGGACATGTCTGATGATCCACTTATAACCCCATTTCTGGCACGCTGCCTATTCTTGGGCATGCACTCGAATTCTTTTATCTGTGTTTACTTTTATAATCTCTCTTACACCTCAAATGATGTCTTCATGTTGTTCTCCAATTTTTGCAACAAGCTGGGGCCAAAACCAGCCACAATCTGACCCACAATATAAAAAGAGAATACCGATGTATTGGAGTCTCTTGAATAATAACATGGAAATACCATTGATTCCGTTGTAAATATTGAGCCTGAAACCCTCAGGGTACAGGTCAAGTTTAGCCATCGCTTTCTGGGGTGGCGGAAGCACTGGATCCAGCGCCATCTGCACATAGCTCTGGGGAGGGAGTGGCAGGGGGGCGCATCCCCCCAGTTAGGGGGTACCAGAACCTAGATGGGGAAGGGCTTGATAAGGGCCGTCAAGTGATTGTGATGTAGCCCCGTGAGGAGCAGTCTCCCAGATGAGATCGTGATCTCTCTCAAGCTTTCATTTTACTGACAGGAAAGAAGCTCGTTAAAGGGAGAGTGATAAGCCCAAGGACTCACAGATGGTTAGGACAGGGAGGACCAAACTCAGCCTCCCCAACATGCATGCATGTTCTTGCCACTACATCATGCTTCTGGGTGCTGCCCTCAGTGTTACAGGTTGAACATGAAGTTACCAATTTTTATACATTTTTTTCCCTACAAAAGTGACAACTTCCTATGGTCCCACCTAATAGGAAATAGTAGAGAGAATAAGACTAAATAGCAAATAATTTACAATATGGGCTACTCCCTCCTTACAGATGCTGTTGCTTCACATGACACAGGTGGCAAAGCTTCTAGGGTCCCCCAGCCACATGGGACATTAGACCAGGAGTCTAGTGACTGGAACCAACTTCTATAAAGCTAAATAGCCTTGGCTGACTGCTAGAATAATTCATCCCAGCTACAATGCCATAAAGTTAGCTTTTTAAGTACAAAAACAGGACCCTTACATGTGAAGTCATTAGCCACATCGACTAAGTGAAAAAGATAGCAGCTCATAATACTGCCTATAAAATCTAAAAGGGAATAAGCAAGGACCAGTGAAATCTTTGGTGATTCTTCTAATGTCCTCACTGTTCTCAGAGCGCACGAGGCACGTTCCCTCCCCACCCGTCTGTCCTGACTGACCTTCCTCCCTCCTCCTGCGGATGGAGGCCTACACGCCCCCTCCCTCCAAATGCTTTTCCAATGCTTTTGGAGGATGAGTTACTCTCCTCTCTGTGCCCTGCCACACTGAATGAATCTCATCATATTGTATCTAAATTGTTTCTTTGATGTTTGTCTTCTCTTTCGCCTCTTCAGGGTGAGCTCTTCAGAAGCAGAGGCTGTCATACTAATTGTTGTATCACAGAATATAGCACAGTATATAATACTATAGTAATATATATTTTTAATAATATTAATGTACGTGTTAGTGCCGTCGAGTCGATTCCAACTCCTAACGACCCTGTGTTCAGCACAGCGGAACCCTGCCCAGTCTTTTTGCACCATCCTCTCACCTTCTAGTGCTATGTTAGAAAATGCTCCACTGCTATTCATAGGGTTTTCATAGCCAGTTTTTTGGAAGTGGGTGGCTGGGTCCTTCTTCCTAGTCTGTCTTAGTCTGGAAGCTCCGCTGAAACCCGTCCACCACGGGTGACCCTGCTGGTACTTGAAATCCTGGTGGCAGAGCTTTCAGCATCACAGCCACACGCAGCTGCCACAGTGTGACAACCAACAGACGGGGGGTGTGGTTCCCTGACTGGGAAATGAACCCAGGCAGCACCGTGACAGCACTAGATCTTAACTACTAGACCATCAGGGCTGGCTACTAATGTATAATAATATAATCATAAAAAATAAACTCATGGCCTATTTTTTAAATTTGAATTTAAAATAAAGCTATGGTCTAAAGCCATTTTCTATGAAATTTCTACAATATCCACAGCTCATGAAAGGTTAATGTGCTAAGGGAATCACAATAAGGTGGGCTTTGGCTCCAGGCCTGGCCTGAGTGCCTGTCCGAAGCACAGCCCTGGAATGGCAGCGGAGGCCAGAGCGCCCGCCCAGCAGAACAGCTAATTCCTGGCGGATATCTAGAGTAATATCATTTCATTGTGAGAGTCCAGGCTTTTGGTAAATACCCCTCCCAAAGGACATTTTCAAGATAACAACAGAAGTTATTAAACACATTCAGAATAAGATGAGGCAAATGCAGCCCTGAGCTAAGTGCCATGTGCGACAGAGCCCTCGGGGGCTGCTAATGTGCAGCCCTGGAGGGCAACCCCGGGCTGGAAAGGACAGACTCGTACAAGCTAGTTTGATCAGAAATAACTCAACTGCTCATATGACCACACACCACCCCTAACTTTTTAAAGTTAATACTATTTGAAGTTTGAGGTTTATCACTAACAGAACGTGGTATCTCCTTTTCTGGATTGACGGTAGGATCAGATAATTCCGTGTCCTCTGTCAGGTTCCCTAAAGGTGCCTGCACGCTTATATGCCACCGTCAGACAGGAAAACAAGACCCCTGGAAAAAATACATGATCATTTCAAGAGAAAGTACAAATATGAATAAAAATAAATCCTGTGTGAATAGGGTTGAAAAATTAAGCAACATAAGAAAGGGAAGACCAGCAGAATCGCACGACGTCCAATTCCTGCCGGGCACACTGCTTGGCCTCTTCATTTGAGCTCACCCTCACAGGCAGAAGCCCGGAAAGCCTCGTAGTCAGCTCGGAGAACATCACTTACCAGACCCCGACTACAAATCCGTCCATCTGTCTCTTCCTGGATTACCACGTGCACCAAGCAAAACAGCTCAGCGTTTGTTCTCTGAGTTTTTCTGGAACCACGTGAAACAGCCCTCCTTTCTCTCTAATTGTCCTCCCTGCATTAGCCACTCCAAATAACACCTTCAGCCTCCAAAGTGTCTTCTAAGAGAATAACTCCACAAATCCAAGCTTAACAACAACAGGAAAAAAAACCCAGGCCAAGATGATTGTAATCAATTTAAGAAAATTTTATGTAATCCAATGCATATAATAATTATGTTAAAGCTTCTGCACAGCAAAGGAAACCATCAACAAAACAAAAAGACAACCTAACAATTGGGAGAAGATATTTGCAATCCATATATCTGATAAGGGGCTAATCTCCAAAATATATAAAGAACTCGTACATCTCAACAACAAAAAACTAACAACCCAATTAAAAAACGGGCAAAAGACCTGAACAGACATTTCTCCAAAGAAGATATACAGATGGCCAACAGACACATGAAAAGATGTTCAACATTATTAACTATCAGGGAAATGCAAATCAAAACTACAATGAGATATCACCTCACACCCGTCAGAATGGCTATAATTAACAAAATAGGAAACAAGTGTTGGAGAGGATATGGAGAGAAGGGAACTCTCACACACTGCTGGTGGGAGTGCAAACTGGTGCAGCCACTATGGAAAACAGTATGGAGATTCCTGAAAAAATTGAGGACAGACCTACCATACATTTCAAAGAACATGAAAACACCAGTGCGTAAAGATACATGCACCCCCGTGTTCATCACGGCATTATTCACAATAGTGAAGACTTGGAAGCAACCTAAGTGCCCATCAAGGGACGAATGGATGAAGATGTGGTATATATACACAATGGAATACTACTCAGGGATAAGAAATGATGAAATCTAGCCATTTGTGACAACATAGATGGACATTGAGGGTATTATGCTAAGTGAAATAATTCAGAGGGAGGAGGTCAAATACCATATGATCTCACTCATAAGTAGAAGATAAAAACAACAACAAACACATAGAGACAGAGATTGGATTGGTGGTTACCAGAGGGGAAGCGGAGAGGGAGGAGGGCAAAAGGGATGATTAGGCACATGTGTGTGGTGATGGATTGTAATTAGTATTTGGGTGGTGAACATGATGTAATCTATGCAGAAATAGAAGTATAATGATGTACACCTGAAATTTATACAATGTTATAAACCAATGCTACTGCAATAAAAAAACTAAATAAATAAAATAAATTAAATTAAATTAAATAATAATAATTATGTCAAATATTTTAAAAGATTTCTTCCCAATGTAGTGCTTGTATGGCCTATAAGATCCTCATTCATTCGGACTTACCTTTTGAATGACCTCATTAATCTCTGGAGTATTTGGTGTGTACAGTATTTTTCCATGTAATATAGGCTTTAGGAAGGACCACACCAAAGCACCATTTGGAGACTGTAGAATTTCCTGATAAAGCTTCAAGCAAAATGGTGCTGTCACAATTTAAAAAAAAAAAGTATTACTCATGATACAGATACCTGGGTTAATAGGGAAATTTGTTTATGTATCTGTGATACCTCACTTTTAAATGAGTGATTTTTATATATATTTTCACGACACGATTCTGAATTTGGGCAGTAAATTCAAGAATAATTTTTCTTGTCACTGTCTTTAGTGGCTCTTGTCTCATGAGAAACTTCAAAATATCATGTTCACTTCAATAATTTGAAAGAAAGGATAGTACGACCTTCACATTTTCAAACTAAGTTATGAATAGCAGTACTAAATGATGAAAAAGACACCTGAAAATGAAAATAGTAATAAAAAATGAAAACGTCTTGTTTTTAATCTAGAAAACCTTCATTTCAACAATCACAGTATCGAGACCAGAATTAGGTTTTTCTTATGAAATTAGCTTTATAAATTGCTACTGAGTTTTCTTTGCTGCACCTGCATGGAACTATTCAACTGATTGCTTTTGATATATTAAATTGCCTTGTTTTCACTCAAACACTCAGTTCTTCATGGTGGCTTTCATCATGTTGTGGTGCTAGTTGGTTTCAATTGAAGATTTACTTGACTAATCCAATAGGTACCTAATGAAAGTAGAGACTTCATCACCATAATGACTAGTAATTAAATATTATAAGGTTTTAAGCTAGTGATGAATATTTCAGTATAACTAGTTCTTTCATCCCTGAAGAGAACATTTAATATAAAAATATTATCTTAGCTTTGATATCATAATTCATAACACCCAAGGTATGAAGAGTACTGTTGTGATTATTTCCACTATTATTCTCATCTTCCCAAATTCTTCATTTGAAAAGAAACACAAGTTCTTTTTATTCAACAAGTACAATAAAATTGATAGAAATAATCCCATAAAATATAAATTGAAAGCATGCCTACACAATGAATTTTTAAAGCATTAATTGTAGAGGTTGCTCTTACTGATATTTTAACAACTTATACTTTAAATTATAAACTTAATTTAGTAGCAATTTTGATTTCAGAAAAGACATAATCCTCTATATGTACAGAACAAGAAATTTGAAACCAGGAATCCTGACATCTGCCACTTGTGAGCTGTGTCAACTCGGGCAAGACACTTAACTGGATGGACGGAAGGGTGGATGGATGGCTAGGTGGATGGCTCAATGATTGGATGATTGGATTTAATGAACAAATTTATAATCCTCAAGAAACTCAAATGCAAGAAAAGGAGAAATGAGGATTAGGGAAGAAGACAACAAAAATTATTAAATATTAATAGCCTTAATGTGTGTCTATATTGCCAAATTATATTTTATTTGACAGTTATCCAAATTATCCATCAGCTGATGATGAACATACTGACACACTGTCTCTAAGGTAACTCTGAGGACATTGCCACCTGGCTCCTCATCCTACACCTCCAACTCTACGTATTCCCACTGTCTCCTTTTCCGCAGTTCCATCAACACCTCTGTCCATCCCAGGCACAAAGTATGTGCATAAAGATATATCTTGGGTGTAGTAGACAGAATTCTAAGACAGCCCCCTGGTGTTCACGCCTTGTCTTGCAGATAGAACCTGTGAATATGATGGATGCCAAGCCCATGGTTAGGTTACACAGCCATTGTGAAGAAATTTTGAAGATGTAAATAAGGTCCCTAATCAGTTGAGTTGGAGTTAATCGAAAGGGAGATTATCCTGGCTGAGCAATCAGGTAAACCCTTTAAAAAAGACTGGAAGCCTTAGAGTCAGAGAGATGCCCCTGCCAGCCTTGAAGACACAGTCTCCATGAGTTCTACAGCTGCAAGGAAACAAATTCTACCAACACCTCAGATGAGATTCCCACCCTGGCCAACACCTTGACTGCAGCCTTGTGAGATCCTGAGCAGAGGACCCAGCTAACCAATGCCCAGATCCTGACCTGCAGAAACTACGAGATGATAAATGTGTGTTGTCCTAAACCACTGAATGTGTGGCTATTTGTTGTGAGGCATAAAAAACTAATATACTAGGATACACTTACACCATTGTGCCAAGCAGCTAATATGCACCCTCCCCATTATCCTCATAGCAATCTTAGGAGGTCGGTACTATTGTTTCCATGTTATACATGAGACTAACATGAATCAGAGAGAGAAAATCCCTAGACCAAAGGTAAACCACTTTTTGGAGGGGCCAAACTGTCTAAACGCAAAACCTTTACCAGCATGTTTAGTCTGCCTCTCTAATTAAAATGTATCCACTTACAGCGGGGCCAGGAAATCACTTTTCAATCTGCTGCCATTTGCTACTGAGCTTTATAGGAGGCACATTTGTAGGAGGCCACGTACAGTTCTCCTTGTTGTATGAGATAGCCATTTTGAAAGGACCAAAACGGTGATCCTGGTCTCCAGGCCTGGACCCCTCGCCATTACTGGTTAGCCAGGAGTCCCACAGGGGCTGGGGCCTTCAGGTGTGACTTTTCAGACCCAGTTCCTTGGAGTCACAGGTGAGAGAATTAGCCTGTGCTCAAAGGCACTGGGGACCTCTAAAGCCAACTGCCACACCAGTGTTTGGTGGCCTTACTGAAAATGGAGGATAAAGGTTAGAAGGTGGAGGGAGAAAGTTCTTTGCCAGTATATACCCACCTTCTACACAGACAGAATATTTTGTACAAAGCAGGGCTAATGATCAATATGCAAATTAATCTAAACAAATATGGATTACTATTTTCTTACTTGAATCTTCAGGAATGTTGAATTTTTCTTTGTCATCTCCCAAGAGTTCGTTAACTCTGGGCAAGTTAATAAACGTGCTAGAGCTGCTAAGGAAAGACGCTTGCTCCTTGCAAACCATCTTCATCACAGACTGGAAAGAACCAAAGGCTGAACTTCTGGCCTGGCGCTTCTGTGGAGCCTGAGAATATGAGAAAAAATTGCAATTAAACAGTGACTTGGAATAATTCCCTCACAGACTTCTGAAAGTGCAGTCCCTTCTCCAAGTGAGTATACAAGAAGTTCAGTAAGTCAAGGTATGGAATCTCTGCTTCACTCTTTTCTGTCCTTGAAATACCATGCAAATCTCTGCAATGAGTTTTCTGGCCTGTATACTTGTTAGAAGAGCCAAATGTCGCACACGCACACACATATCCCCACAACACACACACCAGCAGATTCTTGTTTGTCCAGTGATAAATTGTTAATCCACACAATATCACTAACTCAGACTCATTAATAGTCTTAATGTGTGTCTCTACTGCCAAATTACCCAGATACTTGACAGCTATCCAAATCATCCTTCAGCTAATGAGCACACCGACGTCCTGCCTCTGAGGCGGCTCTGAGGACTCTGCAGTCTGCCCCTCGTCCTGCACTTGCCTCTCTGCACATTCCCACATGCTCCTCTTCCCAGGCAGCTCCAACCCAGGCAGAGAGAGTTCAAGCAAAAACTAACATCATGCCACCAACCTCATTCAAGTCTGTGTTTGTATTTGAAGCAAATGATCTGTAATTTGTAAGCCAATTATTTATATGTACATAAATGTTTTAAGGTTTTGGAAAGCAATTTACTTTCTCAATTAAGTTAAACAGGCCCTTGGAATCTCACCTGTGCTAATAATTGATTGAGCGATTTCTGACTTCACAGACAATGTGAGAATTGTCCCACCCTCCCTGTGGTTGGATGTGAGTCTACAAAGTCCCTTCAATCGGTTTTTAGGGAGATGCTAGGCCTTGATCTTTGTCATGCTGTTGCCTCCAGAGTCATTAAAAGGTATTCCCCTTCCTATATTTTGTTGTCTCATGCAAATTTTAGATATTACAAGAGAAATAGCCATTCTGATGGGCGTGAGGTGATATCTCATTGTAGTTTTGATTTGCATTTCCCTAATAATTAGTGATAGTGAACATCTTTTCTTATGCCTGTTGGCCACCTATATATCTTCTTTGGAAAAATGCCTGTTCAGATCCTTTGCACCCCTATGTCCACTGCAGCGTTATTCACAATAGCCAAGACTTGGAAGCAACTTAAGTGCTCATCAACGGATGAATGGATAAAGAAGATGTGGTATATATGTACAATGGACTACTACTCAGCCAAAAAAAGATAAAATTCTGCCATATGCGACAACGTGGATGGACCTTGTGGTATTATGCTAAGCAAAATAAGTCAGATGGAGAAAGCCAAATACTCTATGATTTCACTCATATGTGGAAAATAAAACAACAACAACAACAACAAACAAACACGTAGATACAGAGAATAGATTGGTGGTTACCACAGGGGAAGGGGGGAGGGGGGAGGGCATAAGGAGTAAAAGGGCACACGTGTATGGTGACAGATGACAATTAGTCTTTGGGTGGTGAACACAATGTAGTCTACACAGCAATTAAAATATAATGATGTACACCTGAAATTTATATAATGTATAAACCAATGTCACCTCAATAAAAAATTAAATTTAAGAAAAGAGAGAAATAGAGGCAAAAGGACCACATACAAAGACACAGCAAAACCGAGTGTTTCCCTGGGGGCCGAGGCCAGATACCCACCCGTTGAAAGTCGGGCTTGTCTAGCAAGGCAGCGAATTTAAACGTGTGAAGAAATTCAGGCAAGTATGCAAGGACGTGGCCGGCTTTGGGAAGCAGGTGGCTGAGCCTGGAGACGACGTCCAGCAGGGAGCCGAGCATGCCACTGGCTTCCGAAGGGATCAGAGTCTCAAAGGAAAAAACACAACACGAAATTACCAACGCTGCACTTTATACCCCCATGAGCATCGTCTGAGCAGCGAAAGCCTGGTTGCTTGATTTAACTCTCCCTGAACTAGAGAGACATCTTTGTTGTGCTGTATGCAAGTCCTCTTCATTCGGGCACATACGGCTCCATGCTTTGGAGCACACTCCATTGCACCAGTCTTGTCAAAACGTAAACCAAGAGCAAACGTGATCTGTTGTTAAAATTCAAATCATTTTCAAAATATTTCTTTTATCTTTGAGGCATGCAAAACAGAAATTTAGGAAGAAGGCCAAAATAAAAACATTCTTATATGTGAAACAATGTCCATTTGTCTACTATTTCCCCATGTTTGTGACATGCACATGTCATGTCCATCCTTCTAATGCCTTTGGGCTGTGTGCGTCAGTGCCCATCGGGCTGTGTGTCGGTGCCCATCAGGCACAGTGTGTGTTAGTGCACATTTTGTAGCTGACGAAACTGAGGCTCAGAGAGGTTCAAGGGCTTCCTGAATTCTCGCAGTTAGAAAGGATGAGGGCCGGGGGTGTAACGTGATTACTTTAGAAATACCAGTCCCCTTTGAAACCCACTTGTGCTATCACCACTCGGCACACCCTGTATTTTCCTTATTATTTGCGGCTTCTCTGTCCTGGAATGTAAATTCCACGGAGGCAGGGACTTTTGCCTGTCATGGTCATTTATGCAGCTATAGGGACTGGAACCGCATCTGGCAGTGTTTCTCGTTTGGTAGGTGTTCATTGGATGAATGGATAAATGAGCAAACGCTGCCTCTTTTCACAAGGAGGGAGGAATCACAGCAAATCCCCCCCCCCCAACCTTATCTGCACAATGAATTTTCACATTTTCCCTCTCAGGCCAAGGCCCTAACTCTCACTACTTCTTACTCTTGCTCATTCGAGTTCTGCGCCTCCACTTAGCCGCTGGCTCTGCAGCTGACCTGCGGGACCAGGTCACAGCTCCGCCTTTCCCATCTGCTAATAATGATGTGGTTCTGTCCTCAGTTAAGACAAGAGAGAGAACTCAGTCAGGGGAAACAGGGTGGAGGCTTTTTTTACTTTTTCTACTCGCCTCTCCAATGGCAGCCGCACTTTAGAAGTGGCACCAGTGACCCTGATTTAGGTTGGGAATGACTGAAATTGAGTCACCGCACCGACAGACCAGATGAACACACCATAGTAATAGAGTGAATTGTGTTTTGCAAAAGGCTTCACAAATTTGTTGTCAATGCAAGAGGCAGTCGGTGGACTGGGGAGTGAGCTACGCTGCGCTGGAGTCCTGTGTTGATGTCTGCCGCTGTGGGCATTTCGGACGGCTCTACCATCTCTGAGCAATGTCACACATCAGCTTCCCTAGAGCCGTGCGTATAGTTTCCCAATAAACAGGAGTGCTGTTATTAACGGTGGTGTCACTTTTACTGCGTCCAGGACACTAACTACAATCCAATATCATTCCTCATGGCTCTTGTCAAAGTAATTATTTGGGCCCTTAGAAGCACTAGTTTCAAATAGATGGCGTTTGTGTGCATAATAGAACGGCCATGAAAATATTGACTCGCCAATATTGCTGTATCTGTTTCCCAAAGAGCATACTGTCAAGTTGGAAGGGGGGGCTGAGGTGAGCAAATGAAGAACAAAACTGGTCTGCGTGTTAGCTGGATGTACTGATTTTACCTGGAGAGAGGTGGCCTTGCAAATTACGGGGACATTTAAGAAATGTTTACCCTCTTGCTTATGGGTCTAAAATGCACTCGTTCTGGAAATTAATATTTGTTCTCAGAATGTGTGTGTGTGTGGCCCGGCATTTACCCAGTGAATTCTTGGAGTTATAGAAGGTAGGGAGACCATAAAGGAAATTGGGCTGGAATGGCAAATCTACCCTTTTCCTGAACCCCAAACTCTTCTCCCTGATTCGGAGCATCTGAAGCCACCTTGCCATGTTTGAACCCCTGGGGCTTCTCTGATTAGCCCAGATGTTGTCTAATCTATTCCTGGGGAGACACTTGGAACAAAATCAGTCCCTAAGGGTAGGGACGAAGTTTCTGGAAATGTAAGTAAAGATTCAAACAGTGGAGGCTGGAAGATGGAGGAACTTCTGGAAAAGACAGAGCCAAGAGCAGGAGACCAGGCTGGGAACCAATGTGCAGCACACAGGCCTTATGTGAAGGGTCCCACCTTCCCTTCTTTTCCACGCACAGTATAATCTTGAGGTTTCTTCAACCCTCCCTGCCCTCACCCCACTGTGTGTGGGAGTAGGGGGGCAGGTAACGAGCTGGTTCACACAGGGTTTGGGGCTTGCCCAGTGTTCCCTTCCAACTGCATACCTTCTCCTGGGCAGGCCCTGGCGGAGATGGGCACGTCACTCTCATGGGACAGAGGCCGTGTGTCCCAGGACGTAACAGGGGGCAGAGAAGGCCACGGCCAAGGAGGTGTGGGAGCAGCTCCTGACTCAGAGGGGCACAGGGAGTGGCCCGGCAGACCCCAGCTTCCCAAGAAGTACTCCAGGATGGTGGTCCTCAAAGAGAGGGGAACCTGGCACCGGGTTAGGTGCTGTTTTTCGTTGTTGGGACTTCCGCATTGACTGTCACCAACACTGTGCCAAATCCCCTGAGGGCCTGACTCCAAGGACCCCCTGAAAGGTCTCCTTGATTCTAAGCCCCGCCCTGGAGTCAGCGCACAGGAGGCGCAGAGACTGGCCGAGGCTGCGGGGTCTGCACCTGTCGGCCCCCCTGCTGCAGTTTACTCATCTATGCGGCCCCTCCGCAGACGTCACCCTGCCCGAGTCAGCCCCCCAGCTGTCACGCCCCGTACCTTGTAAATGAAATTCCGTAGGTTCAGGTTCCGACTCATCAACACAATCAGAGAATACACTTTAGCCCTGGGCAGGCTGCACAGTTCTTTCGTTGCAAACCACGATTTTTCATCCTCAGGAAACACCAGCAGGAGACGAAGAACGTCCTGATCACACCTTCCAGATAAAGCCACCGTAAGGCCACTCCAGAGAACCTGTTTCAAAGCATGAGGGTCAGACATGAATACACATTCAAGGTGTGGCCCCCAGACACAGAGCTTCCTCAGTGATGAGCTCCCTGAAAGCCCATTTTCCCAAAAGACTGAGGATTTACCTGTAGATAGATGGAACCCAACCTCTGTTCTATTTCAAACATTCTGAATGGAAATGTTTCTAAAATGTGCACAGAAGTCTCTGGCTTTTAAGCAATCTGCCCTTTCTGACGACTCGGGAATAGCACTATAAGACCAACCATCCTGCACTCGGCCTGGCCGCCCCCCTCCCCCATGCTGCTCTCATAGGTGGCATTGGTGTCCTTTTCTTCTGACATTAAGTCGGCCTTTGCTTTCAGTTGATCAGCTTTCACTTTTCACTATCGGTGTGAAATCATTTTTTTTTCCTCCATTTCCAAATTGAAAACCAGATTTCCAAGCTTATTTTAATTTTTGAAAAGAAAAAGCAAACAAACTCAGAAGAAAGGACTGAGGACAACTTGTGTTAGTGTCTAGTTTATTCGCATTGCATCCCACGGTACAAGGATCTGAGCTGTGTCCCCGTTGCGTACAACTTTCAATTAATGACCTTTGTGATATGAAAAATTATAAAGCAAAATTTTAAAAATGCACTTCCTGTTGATGTTTATATGCTGATGGGTACGATTTCTGTGAAATGTTCAGGCCAAGCAAGACTCTCAGTGAAAAGGAGCTATTGTTTGTTTACTAGGAACTTTGCGAGAGGGCAGAAGTCAACAGATGCTTTCATATAATGCCATAAAATGCCCTCCAAAATTTGGAATACTGTATTAGTCAGTGTTCTCCAGAGAAACAGAACTGATAGGATATGTATATACAGAGAGAGAGAGATTTTTTTTTTAAGGGATTGGCTCATGTAAATGTTGGGGCTTGGCAAGTCCAAAACCCTGCAGGGTAGGCTGGCAAGCAGGAGACTCAGGAGACCCAGGAGACCCAGGAGAAGTTCATGTTGCAGCTCAGGCCCAAAGGCCATCTGGAGGCAGAATTCCCTCAGTCTTTTAAATCCTTCAACTGATTGGATGAGGCCCACCCACATTATGGAGGGTAATCTGCTTTTCTCAAAGTCTACTGATTTAAACGCTAATCTCATCTAAGAAAATAACTTCACAGGGACTTTTAGACTGGTATTAGACCATATATGTCGGTACCACGGCCCTGCCAACTTGACATATAAAATTAACCACCACAAATGGCTAAGATACTCTAATATGCTGGTGTACATTATGAATCTTTGAGAGAGATATGTTTTCATACCTAATTAACCAAGAATCCCTTTTTTCACATGGGACTTACATGGTGCAAACACATCTTGAGAAAGATTTCCTTACTGCCACTGTTTTCAACCTTGCTCTCTGGAGGGGGAGGGTAGATGCCTTTGTGGGAGAGGGGTTTCAAAGAGGAGGTGGGATGGGTGGGGTATGGACATCCACCCTTGGCTTTGATTAGGGCAGCCCCTCTTTGATCAGTTCCATAAAATGGGATTCTGTATGAAGCTTTCCTTGAAAATGGGATTCATCCAAGCCCACAACTCTGGAGGAGTTGCTCCAAGCTCTGCATGGGCATCAACCAGAACTGGCCGATGACAGTCCCTCTGCGTTTACTGTGGAGCATTGGTCCTAGCTATCATCTAGTGCATCACCAGTGCTCCCCACACAGGATCATATTCGATACGTCTCTTAGAATTTAGTCCCAGGGCAAAAATACTTGTCTTAAAAATTGCGTACATCTCTTTAAACCAAATAGAGGAGATCCCGTGCGCCATCCTACGGAAACTCCACAGCCACCTCACACACAAAAGCAATGCCCTGCGGCACATTTGTTTTCACTCCTTCTCTGTGGTTTTCCCAACTTTACTCCCTACCCTTTTTAAATCTCACTCTGTCCATTTTTCCTGTTTGAAAGGCACCTGAAGCAGGTGGCAGCAGGTGGGGAATAAGAAAACAAAGATAACACTCAGTTTGGTTGGGCTGGAAATATCCTTTTCAAAGTAAAACAAGCATCTTTCAACTTAGGCTTTGCTTAGGCTGATATAGCCAATTATCAGAAAGACGGATGCCAAGTTGTTGATGCAAGTCCTACACATCCATGTTTGGCTTGGAAAATGGCAAGGAGCCAAGGACCCAGGGCAGACAGCTCCCCACCACTGTGAGTCTGGCATGCACACACACACACACACACACACACACACACACACACACTCAGAGAATTAGATATTTACTTGGGTTCACTAACTCCCTTTAAAAATGAAGATGATCCCTAGGAGAGGTATTTGCATTTGTAGCAGGAGCTTGTTTACTGGGCATCTGCCGGAACCCTAATTGTGTTCAGAACAGCGCCTCAAACATGGTCTTGATTTTGCCCAGCTCATAATTTGAGCCTCAGAGGTGCAGGGAAGCACTGAAAGGGATTGCTGTTCTCAGCCTAATTATGACTAGAAAGGAAACACTGACAGTGACGTGGAAGAACTGGAAATATCAGGGGAAAGTGAGTAGGCCATATCAGAGTTTGTGAAAGCAAAGTGAAAACTCAATCCTACGCATGTCAGAGAGGAGCAGTGTGGCTCTCTGCTCCCAGTGCCCCGCTGAGCTCAGATCTGCTCACACGATGAAGAGGCATGAACAAGAGCGAGTATCAGAGGGTAGGAGAAAGCTCTGAGGATCCTGCCTGGAAGGACTGATGCCGCATGGTGGAAAGATGGTGGGAAGGAGCTAGGAAAGATCCAGAGTAAGGCCCACTCCAGCTGGATGCTAACTCCACTCTTACTGTGTGATCCCCCAAAAGTTACTAAATGTCGATAAGCCTCAGTTTCTTCGTCTTTACAATGGAGGAGACAATAAGACCCAAAAGGACTCCATGGGGTTGCTGTGAGAATTAAATGAGATCCTTGTGTCGGGTACTCAGCACAGGGAACGGTGTGGCTGAGTGCCCAGTCAATACTGTTATTATGGGTAGGAGACTAGCAGCAAAACATAGTTTTGACTTACAGGAAATTTGAAGAAAGATGAATAAGAATTAGATGGATTTATTCATTGAAAATGGTTAAATTTAAGAAAACGCGAGAGAAGAGGTAAAGCTCATTAATTCTCTCTGTCTCCATTTCCAGTACCCTTTCCCCCCTCATGGCTTCAGACGAGACAATGGTTCTACTATCTACACTTTTTAAGAAGTTATGGAGGAAAGGAAGACTACACTAGTTTTATTTCTTAAAGTAGACATTAGAAATTACCAACAGGTAATAACAACATCAATGCCTGGAAGAGTTGTGATCATGAGCATTGAAGAAAACAGCAAATGCCAGAACCCGTGTTGATAGAGTCGCCATAAATGAGCCGTGTCAATGCAAAGTAATCTTCTTTTGACAGCAAAGTTATTAGGCTAGTAAGTTACCAGGACCCCAGGCAGACATGCTGTGGCTGATTTAAGAGCCCAAACAAAGTGACAAACGTGTGTTGGTTGGCACCTTCGTAGGCCATGGCCATCTTTCTGCATTAATGACTTGAATGAAAATGTGGAAGATATGCTCATTTCCTTCGTGACTGGCAAAGTTGAGAGAGACAAATGATACTTTGCAAAGTAGAGTCAGGATTAAAAATACATTGAAGGTTAGAATAATTGGCCAAAACTATCAAGAAGTACTTTTGCAGAGATCAGTGCAAATCCCAAAACTTAGGTTCAAAACTATTTACTTATGTACAAGTAGAAAAGATGTACCCCATCAGAAACAGCAATTTACTGCTTTTTTTTTTTAACAGTTGGTGGAGGATCTGAGGTGCCCTGGATTAAAAGACCGTAAACTCCAGCCTGATGATGTGGTGATGGGGTTGCAGGAACAGTGTGGAACTCACAGCCTCGGATGAGCTCCCTCCAGGATAAGACACTCCACGTGACTGGTGGTGTCTTCCAGGGGACAGCTGGCCAAATTCCTCTGCATGGGCCAGGAACCCTTGACTCCAGTCACACGTTAATTATTTGTTTTCTCACAAGGAAGGAAAAAAAAACCCAGAATGAGCAGCTTTTGACGGGTGTCTACTCTGAAGTGAGTTATACCAAGAAAACTGTTGCAGCTTTTCAGAAGACAAACTTCGTGTGCTATAACAAACTGAACGCGTGATGTTGGCTAAATTCCTGTAAGGAATCTCTCTTGTCACAACTTGCCCCAGACAGCTGTTAAAGATGCCGACAGAACCGGCCTCAAGTAAGACAGGGAAATTTGGCCAGATTGACCAAATGCAATCATTTCTGCCAAGAGAAATAACAAAACGTCTCAGAATACCTTTCCCTTTGAGAAGCCTCCTAAAACAGATCAGAACTCTCTGGATGCCACTCTCCCCACCTTCCTCCATAAGAATCCTGGGAGGATTGTGGAAAATGTTCATCCCCAAGGCCATCCAAATGCACAAAGCTGTTTGGAGTTGAAAGTAAAGAGACAGTAGACAGACCCTTTGATTGCTCTCTCAACTGATTTCATCCTGACTCTGACCTCATTGTTAATTTTAAAAGAAGAACAATCTGGCCTAGCACAAACAAGGAGGTCCCCGTTGATTTGGAGCCTGCAACACGGTATTGCACGATAAGATGCACAGGTGCTTCTCAGGGCGGGTGGAGGGATTCAAGCCCGGGATGAAAGCAGGCAAGATGGGCTCCAGGGTCCAACACGCCCCGCGTCTGTGATTTTGGTTTTCATTGGGAGTTGCTGGTGTTCGGGAATGGAGCCCGGGAGAGAAAGGAACTTCCCAGGGGTGCCCACAGCAGGTGCTCTGGAGCCAGAACAGGGGGCCGGAAAGGAAAATGGCACCAGGTCAACAGCTCAGCCTGCCTTCACCTCCTTTAGCTCATTCCCACCTCTGGCCCTTTGACCCAATGCCCCCAACTCTGTCACTCTCTCACATAGCTCTTTACAGCCAATCCTTTCTCATCATTCCCATCTGAGCCCCAATGTCACATCCTCAGGGTGGCTGCCATGACCACCTGTCCCCACCACTGACTTGTCACCCTTACATGTGCTTCACAGAACTTGGTTGCGCATCACATGTCTATTTATTTAGCGTGTCACCCCCAGAGCACATTTGCTCCCTCAGAGCAGAGCTTAGGGCCCCAGCTTCTATAAGCACGCCTGATGGATAAGAAGATTTGAAGTGAATGAATGAATGAGGGTCTTGTAGTGTTTTCAGGGCCCCAGTGCCACTGACAAGTACTCTCTGAGGGCCACCAGCAGCTGGACAGAGAATTGGATGTGATGAATTTGCAATCTGATGGAAAGTAAGGTGGAGAAGCCCAGGGAGAAAGATATTGAAAAGTTACTACAAATAATACAGTGCTGACACCCTGACAATCTAGAAAAAGTGAGAGCCCCGAAACGTCATCTCCTAACTGAACATAAATTCATTACCTAGGGTCTGTAGATACATGTGGGTTCATGGATATACTTAGCTATCAAAGCGAATAACTTCATTATCTATTTGAATAGCAAGAGCGCAAGCTTTTGAATACCCCTCGTAATTACCTAGGTATCCGGCTATTTAGATGACCATAACGACTTACACTGTCAAAGAGGCAGAGGAAGACACACGAACGTAAAAAATCACTGCACAACCATCCACATGGCAATATCTCCTCACAGGACAAGGCTTCTCGGGGCACAGCCCTCCCACCATAGAGCATCAGCGACACCCGGTGGCCGCCCGCTTAATTGGGCAGCAACTATCAAAAACAGTCAAGTTCACACCCAAGAAGTTCATAAGGCTTTGAATTTGAAAAAGACCCCAGAAGTTAGCTAACCCGACCCTTCTCTTAAAGCCTCGCTAGTCAGCCACCTAAATTAATTCAGTCACTTCTCCACTCCCCTATTACAAGTTCTAGTAACTGAAGATTTCAAACCAAAGCTAATCGCTATTTACACATAAGGCCACGTATGAGGTGTTCTCCTCACCCCACCTTCATCCCTGACATGCATATGTGGTGTTCAGTAAGCCACCTCTGACATTTTCCCTCAAAGACAGATACTCAGTGACCCACCATAAATAAACTGGTAATGCTATAATTTGAATTTAGGGTTCCTAACATCTAATCTATTAACTCTTAATTGATCTCCCTGTCAAGGCTTGCATTTAACCCCAATTAACTAGAATTGATGTGAAATTAAATGTCTATTGGGGCCCAGTTGATTGTCAGTAAATATGTTCACTTGAGAGCCATCTTAATGTTTACTGCTTCTGGAAGGTTTCCTGTACAAAGGTACAGGAAAGTGAAACCCAACTGTAAGTGCTGAAAGGGTATCTCAGAAAAGTACCTGCTAGGGATCCAGGTGATACCTGCTGTGGTCAACGTGAAATTCACCTGTCCCATCCTCCGTGGACAAACACATCTCAACACCACCCAGCACACAGTCCTCCTCTCCTTGACTTACTGCAGAAAGCAGAGTGAGCACCTCAACATGACACTCTTCTGAGACCAACGCATCCGGCTCACCTTCATACCCAATCACCACAGACATCAAGAGAGTGGTTCAGAGCCCTTTAATGGTTCTGTAATTTTTATTTCCGTTGCCTTAGTCAGTGCTTCTCAACCACCTTGGAGATGACACAGCTGTAATGACCTGTTTGCTTTCACAATAAGCCACTACCACAGTATACTGTCAGATTGTACAGTTATTCTCTACTTAGAGGAAATCATAGGTGATGTTTAGATTTTTAGATGTTTTTGTTTTCATATATTTTTGAGAATTTTACAACCCCTACTTAACCAAGCAGGACCCCCTTGGGGTATCACGCATCAGGGTTGGAAACTGCTAAAATCAGTATCATCACCAATTTTATCATTTCTGAACCCAATCAAGACAGTATGATGCAATTCAAGACCCCAAGGTTTCAGCCTCAGACAATGACCCCCTTTGGTTCAGCTCGGCCTCTCATTTCCTTTCTGCCTCCAGTTATATCATTTGCACAGCGACCCACTCCCCCAGGGCGGGAGGAGAAGAGGAGAGCACAAGAGGACGACGTGAGGCCAGCAGCTCGCTGGGAAAGAGAGGGAGAAGCAGCAGACTGTACCTTTGAATGGGAAATATTGGCTTCTAAAATGCTATTGATCGTTTCATCTGAGATGTGGACAGAAGATCGAAGCTCCTCAGTTAACTTGGTGATGTTCTTCATCAAATCTTTTACTTTTACATCTGAAAAATATTGAAAAGGAAGGAAATTTTATAATAATAAGTGTTTGGGCTATTACAAACTGTGAAAACAAAATGTGATATTAAAACCTGGCAAGGATAGCTTTCTCAACTATGCCAAGCCCATAATAAACACTAAATGAAGACATATCTCACGTCTCTAGCAAGAACTGGGATAATTTATACTAAAAGTAAAACAAAACCCCAGGTTAGTGGTATTTCCTGGTCACTTGCTTACTCTCTCTATGACCTGTATATTTCAAGTTCTTCTCTAGAAAGAGGTTTTTCTTAGGGAACAGTGACCAACTGCTGCAGGAAACTCACTTCTCTCCACGTATCTACTTATCTCACTTTTTCTACCCAGAGCAGGATCACTTAAGGGTTTGCCAGAATTCTTCAGACTTGAGGTATTGATGCAATGAGGGCTGTATGAACTGTACAGATCAAACAGATGGGGAAACAGAGACTCGTGGATACCGGTGTCTTGCCCAGGGAGGCAGGGCCAGGGCAGAACCCAGACCACGGAAGTTTCTCTTCCTTCCTCCCCTTGGTGTTTGTACCCAGGATTTTAGGACTTTACTTCTTGACCCGAAATACATCAGACTAGCCAATTTCTAAATTGTTATTTATCACATATAGCATAACTTTTCCCTTAAATGTTTTATTTTTATATTTGTGTGAGAAACTAAATTTAATTTTTAATCAAGCAAACTTGGAGGAACCACATACTTACTCTCAGTTACTGTGAACTTGCTAAGAAAAGTCATAATGGGATTCCCAGACAGCAAAGTCTTCTCAAGGCTTTGGGCCAACCTAAAATGGCAGAAAATTAAAGCTAATTGAGGCAAGATAAAACACCAGAAACAATGTTGGAGGGAATAATACAGCCTCAGTTCCCAGGAGATGAGCTAGATAACAGGATCACATTTCCATAAAATTCCTCCGATAATTAGACACACAATGTCTCCTGACGCTCTCTGTGTGCGAATACCCATTAACATCACAACTCCAATATTTCCTCCTCAGAGCCCCTGCCAGGCAAGATGAGTCAGGGGAATAAGGATGCATAATAAATGGCTTCTCATAAATGTGAAAAGAATGGGTGGAATAGATCATAGAATGTAAGAGAAATTAGGATATCAAGAAGTGAGATGAGCATCATTCTTTCTGTGAATAAGTCATTTGCAGAATACAAAGTGCCTGATTCCCTCTTCCAGTGGTTTACACTTTGAGAATACAGAACAAATTAATCCAATATGAAGGGAATTTGAAAAATCTTTGACTGTTCTTACAGAACATATTAATGCCATATTGTAATCTCGTATCTTGACATTCTGATCTAATATCTTGATCACCAATAAAGCTAGCCTTAGAGCTAATGCTACTCTCACATTTACAATTTAAAAACTTAAAGTCATGGAAAACTTTGATGTTTAGAAAATATATGCATTAATATGTATATTAATAGTATGTGGCATACATTATTATCTGAAATTCATAATTTAAAAATGCAAGACATCTTCTTTATGAAGAAAAATACTACAGAAGGGAGGAGCGCCAAGCCAGAGCGTACGTGTGCATGCGCTGCCGAGTCGAGTCCAGCACGGGCTGGCAGTCACAGTCCCGCTCCGTGACATTTTCCAAGTTGCTCTTGAAGATTTCCAAGGTGCTAGAAAGATTCCTGCTAAGACTTTCACAATTTAGCTGATGGGGTGAGGACCATATCTTTTCCATCTCCTGGAAAACATAGCAATGGTATAGTTAGAAACATACATACTTGTTTGTGTGGGCACGAGTCTGGTTTCAAGATAAATGCACACCCTCACTGAGTATTCCACGTATTGTACGTTTGCAGCTCATTTCCCTTAGTCTCAAGAAACGTAACATAGAAGACTGAGGATGTACAATCACGGCTGATTGTTCCTGTGCATTGCAGAAAAGCAGGAGGAGCCTGTGGCTGGGAAACAGGAGAGCCCACATTTCACCCCGGCTCTGTCATTTACCAGCCAGGCAAGGTGGCATGTTCGCCAAGGCGTGACAGAGAGCAAGTGCCACCCAACCGATGACCTGGCGTGTGGCCTTCTGGAGCTCTCTCCTGGTTGAAAACTGAGGCTTTTCAAAATTCCCAGCCGTAAAACCAATGAGTGAAAGAAATCGTGTGTGGCTGTCTGTACGCAGAGCTGAGTCTGCCCTGCCTTGAAGGTCAGCAGTGCAGCCGAAGGTTCCCTGTCCTCCCCTCTGCAGGGGGAGGGGTTCCTAGGACTTCGAGGAGCCTAGTGGGAAACCCCTGGTCTGGGCCCAACTCTAAGATTCCATGGACATCTCAGCATATTCTTACAAGCCTTAACCAGTTTTATAAAAGACTAATCATTTTGCAAAAAAATCTTTTAGAATAATACCTATAAATTGATAAAAATGTAAAATATTTATCATATGTAAAACTAAGTGACAAGTACAGGTAGTTTAAAATCTAAAACAACCCAAAAAAGCAGCACACTTATTTATGTGCACAGACGTACGTGTAAATCCATGTACAGTCCCTGGACACAGCAATTCTGCTGCGGGTAATTTAGTTTACAGCATCAGAATTTATCTATTTCATCGTATTTTATTTATATCACTGGATTCTTCCTGATGCTGGAAGCACAGTCTCAGGTTACCCTGATTACAGGAAAGCATCAAATGTAAGTCGACACTTACATAATAGTTCTGCTAAACAAAACTCCTAAATATTTTTCTCAAAACCATTCGTTTCTCTTGCAAATGGAAATGATGGATCATTCAGGTGAGCAGAGAGAGCTAAAAAATATATGCTCCAAGGAAAGGTAAATGTGAAGAGTACTGAAATGTCGAGACAGAGGGACGCTGAGCTCTGGGGTCCTCCCTGCAGTGGGTCACCGGGCACCACTGAGCGGGATCTGTGTGGAGAGGGGACACTTCTCAGGAACTGAGGAGCATTAACACACGATCAAAGCAAGCAGACTCTGGCCCCATCACCACCACCACGGAACCTCTGAACAGGACAGAGGAGGGGAGCTGACCCAGCCGGCGGATCGTCACACAGCACGGCACCTCTTGACTCTAAATCGTCTATTATTATGGTTCCTTTTCCAAGTCCACTTTTTTCCCAAATAATCTGGGGGTGAAGCTTAAACAGAAGTGAATTCATTCATTCATTCATTCAGAAAATATTTATTGAGCATCTGCCAAGCGCCAGGCACAGGCTAGGCACTGGGGCTAGAGTCGTGAACAAAGGAGACAAAACCCCCTGCCTCTGAGATGCTAGCATCCCAGTGTAGGAACACAGCCAGCAGAAGCCATGGGAGCAACTAGTCAGCATGGCAGAGGGGATGTGAAGGAATACAAGGCAGAAATGGGGGAGCAGTGCCAGCGGTTTGAGGGGAAAGTTTACAACCTGATTCAGGGTTTTCAGGGAAGTGTACCCCAGGCAGAGGGAACTGCAAGTGTCAAGGCCCTGAGGTGAGTTCAAGGGGCCAGCACAGTGGGAAAAGAGCACAAAGGGAGGGCCTCGGGAGGGACGTTGGGGAGGTGACGGCCACCCAAAGGGCAGGACCTTGCAACCCGCCTCCTTTAGGACGTTGGCATTTGATCTGAACGAGATTGGGAGACATTGGACGGTGCAAAGCAGAGAAGTGATGCGCTCTGATGATGCTTGAGAAGCATCACTCTGGCTACTGAGCTGAGAACAGAGCCGAGGGGAGGAGAAGTAGAGTCAGGAGGCTATCAAAATGACCAGGTGGGATGGGATAGAGGTTTGGATCAGAGGAACTGGTGGAGGTGACACAATATGGCCAGGTTCTGGAACCATCTGGAAGGTAGAACTGACAGAATTTGCTAACAGGGGGAAAAAAAAAAAGGTCAGCAAGTGTGCTAAGGTTTTCGGCCCTAGCAACTGAAGAACAGGACTCCACCCAAGGGAAACGCTGGGTGAAAAAATCAGGAGTTGCTTTTAAACATGCTGCACTGGGAGGCATGTTTGACATCTAAGAGATATGGAGAGGGCACCTGCGTGTACAAGCCTGTTGCTCGGGGAGGGCTAGGTTGGGAAGGGACCTTGAGAAGTTGCCAAGATATAAGTGGCATTTGTCAGACTATAAAAGGATCTGACAAGATTGCCAGCATGTGAGCACAGATAGAGAAGAGAACACGTCTGGAGACTGAGTCTGAGGCTGTCTAACACGTGGAGGAACCAGGAATGGAGACAGAGATGGTACAGCGGGAAGCCCCAGAGAGAGCGGGTCCTGGAAGCCAAGAGAAATGTGACTCAGGAGGGAGTTGTTGTCTGTGTTGATGCCAAATGGGGACCAAAGGAGGTGAGAAGCAAGGCTTCAGCCATGTGCAGGGCCCAGGACTTTGGCTGGAGCTCTGTCTGATGCCTGGGGAGGGTCTGGGACGGGATGGTTGACTCAGGCCAGGTTCTTTGTTTTCAATTTTGCGATAGGATTCAGGGACACACAGGCATTTCCTTCCTCCTCCACATTCCTCCTGCCTACTCGCTCCTTAGAAGTCCGTAACACCTGGGAGACACAGCCTCCTCCAGCTTCCCCCTCACTCACTGCCCCTAAAGACAGGCACATAGACCCCATTGGTCATTGAATATGACCGTAGGAAAGCAGAAGGAAAAAGATGGCAAGGAACACAGGCGGTTCACTTGCAAGGTGGGAGGATGTCCTGGTCTTGTCCCAGGTCTCCAGCCCACGTGTCCATTTCTCATAATGCACATAGAAGCCCCTTCGACCTTCACTCACGACTCTTCATTCCTGAGTGTGGAGCTCTCCACACCTTCCCCAATTCTCCCACCTGAACATTTCACAGGCCCTATATTCCCCTTCTTCCGTGGAGGCCTCTCTTCTCGGTGCACAGGTGCACAGATACATCCAGGTCAAAACTACATGTACAAATGAGGAGCCAGCTCCTTTTGAGAATGTAAATAAAACCCATCACACTGGGGCTCTGCCCATTTCCCTCATAGGAAAGAACCTCTAGTTCATAAGTTGTAACTACATGCAAATTACATTTAATTCTACACATTTATAATATTCCTCCAATCCAATATAATATGGATTTTATTGTTAAATTTAACAACATAATAATTTTGACATATAAGCGGTTGTAGAGAAGGAAAGTACACTCCTCTCCCCAGTAGCAAGGACACTGGAAGGAAAGTTCCAGCTTCCTTCATCACAGGCACACCGGGCTCCGTGCAAGAAGTGTCAAGTACAAAGGTAGACCTTTGGGGACAGGGTAAGACCACCACGTGCAAAGTCACCCACGTCAGACTCCTCTGGCTAGAACAGATCTGTAATCACCCAGGAACTGGTCACTAAGTGTATTCAGCCTGCTTTGCAGATGCAACGTTGCCCGCACATGGGCTCAAAGGTCTAGATTTGGGGAGGTGGTAGGAAGTCCCAAGTTCAGCTTGAGTTCCAGCCAGATACTCTAATTCAGCTTATCCTAGAAATGTAGAGACTCACTGGGTACTTGCCGTCACTTTTTAAATATAATTTGCGATCCTTATTTAGCTCCTTATTGCTATTTTCTACTGTTTAGAACATCGAGTGGATGAGGGCAAGAGGCTGACACCCTGAACTTTCATCATATCCACTCAATTGGCTGAGAATTTCACTTTCAGTGGAATTCTGTGTTGGCATTGAGACAACTTAATGTTAGAATATTTATTTAGATAGTGAAAAACTAAAAATAGCCTTGTGCCTTTTGCCTGCCTCTGTCGGGCACAGGGCACTTCACATCCCACTGCCTGGGAAAGACTGACATTTCTAAAAGCCTCACACTCCTGAAGCCCTTGAATCACAGACCCATCCTAGAAACTTTGCATGCTGAGATTAGCACCATTCTATTTTTGTCACCAAAGAAACTTCTGCTCTTTGTCAAAACTGGCCTGTTATCAGCTAGAACTGTTGGCAATCATATAACAATTTGAACTATAAATATAGTCTTTGAGGCAGTTGTTTCGAAAGCTGGAGTCTCCTGCCTGTTTTAGTATTGTGAACTTCACTCAGGACTCACAAATCGTCTATCAGGTTTTTTTATATATATCCACATTTAACACCTGACAAAGATCTGCACAACCTGGAAATAAGAATTTGATGGTCTAAATAAATCAATGTACATATGACAAACTACAGGGGCTGCAAAGACGATTATCTCTACAGACCCCACGAGCTTCCTGGTCACACACACCCCTCCTCCAGGCCCGATGAAAGATTTACAGCTCTCACTCCCTCCTCACATTTTCAGAGGCGAGGGTTCTGCACCCTCACCATATTGTAGGAGGTTAGCACGACTTTCTCTGGTCTCTCTCGGCATCATCTTTCTCTCTACTTGCTGAGATAATCCAACATTCACTGGACATATGAGTAGGTGGAGTTACTGTTCCACAAAAGCAATGAGCTGTATTCAGACCTGGACCAGAAGAAACGTAGGACCTCACTCCACTGTTGGAAAAATGTCGCCATTGTCCAGGCTTCCCAAGCAGGTCAGACCTGCCGGTGGCCCAGTGGGCTTTCACCCCAGGGCAAGGGAGTAGGCCTCAGGTAAAAGTCACGTTCTCAGACCCAACTTCAGTTGGAGACCCTGCGTGGGCACTCATTGGGTCCTTATCCAATTAATAAAAAGGAGACTGACACACTGGTTCCCATTCAGCCATCAGTTCTTGGTACTTGCCAGTGTGTTCCATTAGTCAGAACCTGTGATGGGCTGGTAAATGTTTAACAACTGGATCTCTGGTAAAAAAATATCTTATTTGTAGCATTTGCCAATTTCCATGGTGTAAATGCTCCCATTGTGGCCTGGTTCAAGTTACCAACACGACATCACTGAACATAGAATTGGGAAGAGATGCACAGTAGCACACGACTATACTTTATTTCCATAGAGATACAACAGATGTAAATAATTTCAAGAGGAGAGACAATAGTAAAACCTACTAAAATAATTAAGAGGTGACGAGTCTTGAGAATTTATTACCTGTGTTTTTAACATAACTTGTTTAATCATATATTTATATAATTTGATTTTTAATGATGTCTATGTTTAAATACCAGTTTGAAAAATTTCTGCAAATTTAACAGTCAGCTCTCACTAACCAGTGCTAGTCACCCCAGCACACCACCGGGAGAACCCAAGAGGGAGGATGGGTGGGCACTCTTTCTGTGGGCCTAACTTCTCACATGACTGCACACAACACAGTTGCTTTGGTTTTAAGGACCAAGCTAACAAGCTAGAATCACAAGACTGCCTTACATGGGCCAATTAATGAACATGAAATTCTCTGAAACATCAAAGACAACAAACCTGGTAGTAGTCATGCACCAAAGGGACCCCTTGTAGAGCAGATAAAATGAGAGGCCTTATCCGGCCTTGCTTGCAACTCAGAGAGGCACACAGGATGTCCTTGGTCAAGGAAGGGTTTTCTGCCAGAGGAAACACACAGAGAAGTCATCAGTAAACCATCCTCTCCCCAACTAGCCGCTCTCACCAGTCATTTCTGAAAGATTCAAAATGATGAAAATTCATAAATATTCCTTAAATCATCAACACGAACATTCAGAATATGAAGGAAAAGCTATACCTTTTGAGTTCCAAATGTTATTAATTAAATCCTTTGTTTTTCTGGGCCTAACTGAATGTACAGAAATTGATACCCCTCCTCCACCTCCCCACACCGGCCCCCCTTCCTGTACCCCTCAGGCAAGGTACCCATTCACCCCAGTTTGCCCAGGACAGTCTTGGTTTTCACCTATTGTCCCAGAGCAGTGATGAACAGTGCCCTCTTCATTCTCAGAAGTGCCCCAGTTTGAAGGATGAATTATACACACAATCGATTTGAGGCCCCCCCATCCTCCACACCTTGCAGGTCATATCCTGGAGCCAACTGTGACTCTCTTCTCCCTCACTCCTCGCAGCCCACTGATCCCTCCGCCTGCTCAATGACACCTCCCAATAGCTTTGATTCTGTGCCTCTGCCCAGCACTCACCAGGTCACACCCAGGATATTGCCCAGCTCCTAACAGCTCCGTCCCCTAGTTCCCAGAGAAAAACTGCGGTCCTGTTTCTTACCTTATTTCCCCCAGAGAAAAACTGCGGTCCTGTTTCTTACATTATTTCCCCCAGAGAAAAACTGCAGTCCTGTTTCTTACATTATTATGTTGTTTCTCCAAAGTTATTTAAAAAAACTGTTTTGAACTATATACATAGAGTACATAGAATATACGCAAAGTCACGCTTTTCAGAAGCATACCACTTGGACACCTCATTTGTTTATATTTTCTCATTAATCTTGCTACTTCTCTGATTTGGAAAACAGGTCTCCTATTGTAAAAAAAAACGTAAACTGTGTCTCTTAAGTAATCTCTTATTAAAATGCAAAATGAAAGACGTAAGGTATTACTCAACATCACCTTATTTATCGTTGAGAATAAATGGATCCTCTGTTTTGGGGGAAGACATAGCAACATGTTTAGGAATTATGTTTCAAAACCTCAAAGAGCACAGAATGCACCATTAGAAAGACTAACTTATGTTGTGACTTTAGGCAAGGACTATTGTGAGCCTTCGTTTCCTAGATGTAAAATGAGAACGTGGACTAGATGGTGACTGCAAGATTAGGTCAGGGATAACACGGTTACAGGAGGAAGTGCTGGGCTGTCAGGAGATCTGGCCTGCATCTGCCTGTGTCTGACGGCCCGCCCTCAAGGCCAGAAAGATGCAGGCCCTCCTCAGGCCTCTGCACTTGCACTCCCCTGGGGCCCCTCACGCTGCCCTGCACATCCGGCTCCATGCCCTGGCTCTTCCTACCCGCAATTGTCGCTCTTCTTGGCTTTTGGACACATCAGACCCCCTGCTCTGGCTTTCCAGACCCATCCCTCTCTCTGGACCCCTCACTCGGCTCCTGTCAGCCCCACAGACCCCCGTGGGCTCCTCCACTGGAGAGGGGCTGACTTCTGCACTCTAAGATCCTGGGCAACTCGCTCTCAGTCTCTGGGCCTCAATTTGCCAGTTTCAGAAACCAGAAGGTCGAAGTAGATGACCACTGAGGTTCCTTCTGGTTCTATGAGCCCATCAAGCTACAAGCCCTGTCCTCACATGGTCATTTCTAACGTATGTCAAGTATTAGATCCAGAGGAGAAAAATTACAGCTTTCCTCATACTGTTACCAAACTTAGCTCTATGACATGCAAATAACTACTTTATTTTCAATAGTAATAGTAACAGATCTGACTGCTATTCCCTCTGGGTGATGGAAGAGGAGCCATTTGCCCATTTTGGTCCATTCCACCCCAAATCTTTCTTGGCTGGCACCTATACTCTTTCTGGGCCTGTCACCGCCCTCCTATTCTATAGAATGGAGTGACAGTTTAATAAGGAAAGTGGAGTGATAGTTTAAATGTTACTGAGTCATGCCTGAGTATGACACGCTTGAGTTTTCTTGAAATGAAATAGAAAAATCCAAAATTAATTTTGTGACTAATGTAATTTCCAGTATGCGATATTAATTGAGCAGCTGCAACACAGAATGGCAAAATAAATATAAATTCAGGTATTAATGGATGTTTAATTCATTTAAAAGCCATTACATTAGCTGACTGTGAAATCTCAAAGTAATCATGCCTTCCACATTTTGCCCAAGCAAACTTGCACGTGCTGAAAACGTGTTGACCGTCCTAAGGTGAATTTAGATATGTAATGATTTATATTTGACAGTATTGCCAATGTTCATAACATCTCCAATTGGAAATAGAGATTTTCTTTAAAAAAAAAAAACACAAAAACAAAATACAAAAAACAAAAAAACACTGAAACCTACGTGCCAATGGGTTTCATTTATGTCAACAGATGTCTCACTGCCTCCCTCCTTTTTCATGTTTCTTAGCCTAAAAGATTAACCAATTCTTGGCTTTAAAGAAACTTTTGCATTCTGAAAAAGAGGTGAGTGAGCAGATTAGAACTCAGTTTGGGTTAATACTAAATTACCGATTTTCACTGGTAAACAGCTCTTTTGTAAGCTAAGTGATTTTCCCATGGAACATCACCCAATTTTAGCTTTTTCCTAGCAGTTAGTACCAGATTTATCTTATTTTGAATTTGTTTTAAAAAGTATTTGACATTCTAGTTCTGCGCAAGGCTTGCTTCTCCTTCCCTCCACTCCCAGGCAGGGGCAGGTCTGCACTCCTTGCTCCCAGTCTCTGCTGCCCATGCTCACCAGTTACCCACCCAGGGTCCCCGTGACCCGCCCTGTGATGGTGAACGAGGGCGTGCCTCCATTGTGCCCCCCTGGGCAAGCCAGACTCTGCTCTCCACAGTGTCCTCCAGCCCCACACACTTGCTCAGGAACCCCAAGAGCTCCCAGAGAGCACATATCACCCATCTTTGGTCGTGTATGGCCAAACATTCCCACCGGGACAGTCAGCATAAAGTCCCAAAGATTGCACATATAGGGATCCCAGTGGATGGAGACATGAGCACTAAGGGCTCCTGGCATTCATTCATTCATTCATTCAACAAACGTCCATCAGCATCTCCTAAGCTCCAATCCCCATAAACTGGGTTTACAATGATCAAGACAGGCAGTCACGAGGACACACACGTGTTTACCATCAGTGCAGCGCACAGCCATAAGGGCCATAATACAGAGGTCAGGCTGCCACTGGAGGCAGATTGGGTAGGCCAAGAAAAGTTTTCCAGAGGAAAAAATACCTTATCTAAGAATAATAATCTAATATTAATAATCTAAATAATATTAATCATCTGAGAATAGGTCAGGGGGAGGTAGGAGAGTGAGAATGTGGTATCAGATGAACCTAGGTCAAAGGAGCGATGCAGGGCCAGCCATGGCTGGGCTCCACGCACAGATTTAGGGTTAAGGGCCACTCAGCCGACCTCTAGCTCCTCTCTTTTCCTCTCAGTCTGATCAGACCCCCCTTTGGCTTCCCCATTTCTCCTCTCTGCTCTTCCTCTCCTGGGCTCAGGTCCATCTGCCCAGCACCCACTGCCATCAGCACTCTCAAGGCCCACAGGCCCTGACAGCACCAAGAGGGCTCTGTGCAGCTGCAGTCAGGAGACTGTGCCGTAGGACGCGGCAACACGTGTACACGTGTGAAATTACTTAAGCAGCACTGGTCTAACCCATGGACTCAGAAATGCTCTGAGACCTCATACTTACATATTAGAGGAAGTTCTAAAATAATCTAGTGACCCTATAAGGCATCTCATGGCACTTTCCTCCAACAATGGCTTGAAAAGGAGATTTCACTGAAATATGTAGCAACAGATTTGACAAGTAGGATCTTAGCAGACAAATTAATTCATTTACAACACAAATATTTAGTTACCCGTTATTAGAGACAATACAGCATATGATATTATGGACACAGAATTCAAAAAGCGACAGATCTTGCTCTCAGTGAGGCCACAGACTGCTGCAGGAAAAGGGTACCAAAACACTAACACATAAGCAGTAAGTGCCAGGGCTATAGAGCAAGTATCCTGGGGATTCAGGTTACTGCATGGATCACTCAGCACACATAGGTGGAATGCATCTTCTGTGCCAGGCACTAGATATGCACAGAGGATTAGGACATGGATGCTGCCTTCAAGGAATATTCACTCTGGTTTAGGAGGGAGATCTTAAAAATAAGAGCGTTAATACTGAATTTCACAGAGGTCTGCTCAAGGTCATTGCCAGCAAAGAAGATGGCGGCAGTCTTTCGGAAGAGATGCCCCAGCTCCGGGCCATGGAGTGTGGCTGGAGTTTAGGTCAGGGAGATGGAGAAGCACATTCCATGAGCAGAGACACAGAGACCGAAAGCCCAGCCCAGAGGCAGGGAGGGGGCTGTTCACTTTGGCTGGAGAAGAGTGGCAGTGGTGGGAAGGAGGTGGGGACAGGGGCAAGCACCTCAGGGCCTTGGAAGCCAGGCTGAGAAGGCTATGTTTTATTCTAAAAGAAACTCAGGGACAAGCTACCCATTGTGCTGGCAGCTGTGCCCTGAAAACTGGCACAGGGCAATTAGCAGCACTTCTTACATAGCAGCCCACCTGCAAAGATGATGAGCGCACGCAGAACCAGCATCTTCACTTTCTGCAGAGCCGCGATGGCTTCCGGGGGCTTCAAAGGCTGCCAGGAGACCTGACACATTTCAACAACACTTAGGGGAAAAACAGACAAGGCATTAACGGGCAAAAGTATGCAAGCCGTGTGCGTCACTTCACATTCTTCCTCACAAGAATAAGTCGTAACACACGTGTAAGAACTATCCTCCCTGCTCAACAACTTACTCCACCGGAGAACACAGATAACATAGTCTAGACCTCCAGAACACATTAGGTCTCCTGTTTTAGTTCAAAGCCAATAAATCTGATATTTTCTTTCTCTTCTTGTCTTGGTCCATTCTCAGATGCAAAGGTAAATGATGAAAGGGTGTCAAAAAAGAGAAACAAAGGAGAAAGCCAATGTAAAGAACTCTCATGGTTGACTATTTGTGTATGGAGAACTAACTTTAACAGATGAATTAGTACATAAGTAAGATTTTTATCTTTAAACAAATTCCTAGAGAGTTGTAGCATGTGTGCATGTGCATGTGTGTTGTGTACGTGTGCACATGTTTGTGTGTAGGTACGGACATATATGTACGGACATATATGTACATGTGTGTTGCTCTTTATGGAGTCCACTTGGAAGGTATTGGAGTAAAAACATCCAGAACAATCTTTTAATAAGCTTTCCTTGCTCAGAGTTACGCCATTATGCCACTGATGAAAGGGGAGAGTAATTCACAGCTTTACCTCTTATTTTTTAACCCAAAATGGCTTTTGTTCCATTCTTAGATGAGTTTATATTCTTTCTATGACTCAAAACCATCCTCAAACAACAGACACAACTGAGCATATAAATAACATGATCTGTGAAGCACTTCTAAAAGAAGAATTAAAATATATATATTTATTTCTTTTTTTTACTGTAAGCCACATCAATTGATTAAGGGTACAGCTGCCCGAGGAAATTCCCTGAAAAGGAATATCTTGAGATATTGGAGATTGGAGACATTTAAAAAAACCACACAAGGATCTTGTCTTCTCAACGTGCATCCCTTTCGAAATCTCGGCATGTTGAATCATCCACTCCTGTGCTGTGCTGCTGGGACAGACACAGCAACATCACAAGTCTGAGAAAATGCCACACTCCGAGAACGCTCCACAACCCTGTGACAACCCAACGCACAGCTTCTAGGGAGCACAGCAAAGTTTTAATTTTTTATGCAATTCAATATTTTTACAGCTTGTTGTTTTAAATTTACTTTCCCCAGAGGAAGAATGAAAGTTTCTGAAAAAAATGTTTAACTTTTTGTTCTGCTGTGGTGTTGACAGGGCGATAGAACAGCACAGAATAATCCTGCTCAAGTAAACACACCTAACGGGCTTAGTACAGCCACCTCCCTAGGCAAATGTGAGTTTTCTCCAATTAGAATATTGTTTTTCTGTTGTTGAGAATGCAACCAGTCCTTAAAGAATGCAGTTATCCTATGTTAATATAAAAATTTCAGCTTGGTGGTGCTGTGTGTACATATCAAGACAAAAGTAAGTTTAATAATTAAATTCACTTTCAGACTGGGGTGCTGAAATTCTTGAGGTGACGAAAACTGTGGTTTCTTTAGTTACAGTAGTTAATCATAGATTAAAGAGATTCTGAAGCCGTTTGAAAATTTTGAAGGTAAGACAGAATTATACAAAATCCTCTAGGGAAGCCAGATATCAGAGCAAAGGATTGCTCTAAACTAAACAACAAATAGAATAAAGTTATGTGTTTAATTATAATAAAAATATAGTTGAACTGGAAAATAATTTGGGGGCAGGAAATAGTTATTACTGAATTGTGTTTTAGTGCCACAGAAGGACAAACTTGTACATAATTTTTATTGCTGTTCAGAAAAATAACATGATGGTGTGTCGAATCATTTCTTAATCACCATCTGGTGATATATATTTTGATAAATTGTGGTATTTTAATTATTATACTTTAGTTGTGCTGAAATTACTGTGGACCTGGAAGCAAAAGACTCATTATTTCATAGAGTCTCTTGGTACAGCCACCGATGGCTACTTCCAGTTCTGGCTTAGTAGATGCGTTTTATTGAGTATGACCCTGAACTGCCCCAAGTCTTGGTTTCTTAACCTCTAAAATAAGGAATGTGGTCAAACCAGCGCTTCGCAAACTATAGCATGCTTATTGGTCACCTGGCAGCCTTGTTAAATCACAGGCTTTGATTGGGCAGCTCTGGGGCAGGCTGGGGATGTGGCCTTCCTAAGCAGCTCTCAGGTGAGGCTGAGGCTGCTGGTCCCACATCCTCACATTGTGGAGCGAAGTGCTTGATAATCTCAAGGGCTTTGCAGGTGGGATACTGTATGTCCCCATCCACCCCTCTCGAGTGGACTTCATGGTCTATTTATCAGTGACCCTCGCAGTGTTGGGAAGGCTTCAGACATGAGGAAAGAAGAGATCTAGGAGACTGCCTTCTCTTTCTGACTTCCCAACTCCTCTTTAGTTTGCTTGCCTTATCTCTATGATGGATTTTGAGAATGGTAAATACCTTAAAAGCAGCACTCACTTTGAAATGGAATTTCGTGGTAGCTGGAGGTAACACAGACGGTGCACAGATAACCCCTGATGACATGCAGGTAAAAGAAGGGGCTGCTGAATGACACCCAACCAGGGGGAGGTGACAAACAGCCCAGAGGGTTCTCTGGGACAAAAAACGATGGATTCACCTCTGGGGCAACCAAGCTTCTCTTCCCTGTACAATTGCAGGTACTGAGGTGGGAGGCAGAAAAAATGAATTCTGCCCCAATTTGCTCCAGATATCTGACCTCTGCCACCAGAGAGTCTCAACTTTGAGAACCTTGGAGTAAACCTTCACAATATTCATGGAACTTTCTACTTATGGGGGTTTTGTTGTCATTGTTGTTGTTATTATTTTAATTTTAAACTAATGTTTTTGCCTAGATGTCTGTTATTTAATTAATATTTTTCACGTGGTAAACTCATATAAACTGCATATCTAAAGTTTATATTATTTTAGAATACTTACCATACCCCCGAAAGGTACCGCTGTTATCCCTGTTTGTACATAAACAAAGGGAGGCTCAGAAACTTTAAATGATTAGCCTAGATTCAGAAAATTAGTGACCAGTAGAGCCAAGACTCATATCAAAGTCAGGCTATTCTGACCTCAAACCCAGGACCAATGAGATTTTCTGTTTTGGACATTTTGTATCTTCCCCATTCAAGAAGTTGATGATAAAATGATACTGAAAACAAGCAGCAAGAATGGAAGCAATTTATCACTGAAGTGGAATGAATTCTCTACTTGTGCATGTAGAGACTGCAGGTGGTGACCACACCCGGCCAGTTCACACAGGATTAGTTTCCAGTCTTGGGACATGGTGCAAATTCCCTCCACGGAAAACTGAAAAAATCAGACGAACATTGGGATTGGAGGAAAATGAGGGTTGCCAGGACCACCTCCAGCTCAAATGAAAATTCAGAGCAAAGCTTTAAACACAGTGTAGCTTAGGATGCGAGGCAGTGAGGACATGAGGCTGGAAGCTCTGAAAGCCAGCATTCAAATCTCAAAGCAGCGACAGTTCTTTGTGGCAATAGATATCTATTTCACTATGCAAGCAAATCCTTCCAAGTTATAAAAATGATTGGATTCAAGGTGCAGCCCCGTAGCAGCAGAACTAACAGAAAATAGGTCAAGCTCTCTGGCAGATGAGTGAGGATCCAAAGGGCACCTCCAATCTCCCTGTAGGACTAAGAGAAAGGTAGGTACAGGCAGGGACCACAAACCACCCAAACCACAGAGAGGATGAACTTGGACAGCCGCAGCACCTCTGAGACCCCGCACACTTAGAGGCGCAAGTCTTCCAACCTAAGGCAGCAGATGACTTCCAGAGCGTGGCAAATAATAGGACTGCAGCTTCTAAGAACAGGGTGCCCTTGACCTACCATTCAGGGATGGGGAGAACAGTGCTTGCAGGTGGATCAACCACGTAGAGTTGGGTTGAATCTAAAGAGGGAAGAATCCAACAGCTGCCTGGACCTTTCCAGTAGCTAGTTACAACTGAAAGCACAATTTTCTGTGTGAAGGGAATGGCCTCATGTTCTTATCTGCACATCGGATAGTAGGACCCTTGGCTGCCAGAGTTTGTGAATAGAAAAATTGTTTATGTACCTAGTCTTGGGACAAGTGACTAGCATAAGAAGTTTTTACTTTTGAAAATAAAATAATGTATTTTGGAAAAATTTAGAATGAATTCAAATAGTATTTGAATGCCAAATAATGAATCAAATAGTGCAAAGACACAGGACTTGAATCACTCTACATGGAAGCCAACTTCAGAGCATCATGAAAGTTGAAGTCAAGAAGGACTACTTACCTGGTTCAATGTAATTCCTGCATGGTTCTATTTTACAGTTATGGTAGTGAGAAAAAAACAAAGTGAATTAGGTGTTTCATTACCTTTGATCTGTCAGTGGGACCTTTTGCCAATATTCAGTCAACGCAATTACTTCTTTCACATATCTCTCAAACCACGATAATGGGTTGAGGATGTAAGGAAGATCTGTCATCTCTTTCTTGGTCCTCTCTTCCTCTCCTGACGTGATATTCTTTCCAGGGGTTGCATTAATAAGAATCTCAAAAGCAGGCTGAAACAAAGTTCTTATGGAATTTATCCACTGGGAGTTGTTTCGGAGAAGCTCTTTCCTCAAGAGAGCTATTCTACTTAACACAATCTGGATTGCTTCTTCAAGTTGTTGATGAGTCACATTCTGAATCAAAGAGGTGTTGAAAAACAAAGCTTTACTCAAATCACCTCCATAGTCACTTTTCATTCCACTGGAGACCTCTACAACTGTTTTTATGGCTTTCAAAAGGTTATTTGGATGCTGAGCAAATGTCAGCAACAAATTAGAAACATTCCAGTCATCCTTCTCTAAGTGATTCCAAAGAGATTCTAAGATGAGGTCAATCACAATTCTCAAGTACATCCCTATTTCTGTGCTGTTTTGCGATATTATTTCATCCAAAAACAGGATCACTTCATTAGTTCTTTCCCACTTTGTATCTTGAGGGAAAATATGAGTGGAAATTGGGTCAGGATGTAAGAGGTCTATCTGGTTGGTGATGTTATTTATAGGAACTAAGCAATCCAGGATTTCTTCCCATGAGTTGACAGAATCCATAGAAAATATTTGAGTCCCATTATTAACTGCTGCCACAAGATGTTCCAAGGCTCCCAAATTGATTTTCACAGAAGTTAAAAATTCAGCAATATCTTCCAAAACATCAGAAAAGTCCTTGGACTGGTTCACATATGAGAATATGCTAGATGACATATTGAAAATATCAGAGTCTTGTGAAATATTACTAGGTTTGACCCCAATCATTCCAAAGGCCAAGTCAAGAAATGGCATCAACAAGTCATTTATATTTTCAAATATTAAATAATCTACTTTTTTCAAAGTAGTTATTTCGTTCACAACATTTCGAACACTTTGTTGCAAAATGGAATAAAGGGTGTCAAAGAATTTCATAGTGTCATTAGTTTTGGAGATGAAATGAGTTTCAAAAATAGTGGCCATCGTCCTCGAAACTTCCTTGGCTAGCTTAAAGAGTTTCACAGTGGAGTTCACCAATGTGGCAAGATCTCTCATTTCAGCACTGTCACTCACCAGCATGATCAGAGTATTGGACATTTCCAAGATGGGTTCCGGGACACGACTTTCTCCACCAGCTCTTGAAATAACACCAAGTAATCTCTTAGTAATTTGTAATGTTGCTCTGTTTCTTAGAGGGAATGAATTATTTATAAAGGAAAGCAAATCAGTTAAATTAGCAAGTATAACTTCTTTGAGTGTAGGATACAAGGTACGGAAGTCCTTATTAGGAGAGTTTATAAGGGTACCCATAAGACTTGCTATCTCTATTGAAGCTTCTTTCACAAGGTGAAGAGCTGACCGAAGATTGTGATTGAGTTTGAAGAGGTCCTCAGAACTATTCAGATGGAAAAGCAACTGACTCACCACAGTAAGAAACTCCAAATTATTTTCAGCCTTATTTTTCACTGAGATTTCCCCTAGAAAAGTATTAATTAAATCTCGCATGAACTTCAGTCCTCGATGATTATCAAAATAAAATTCTCCATTGTCTAATATAAATAAGCTTTTGATTAGATGATATATAGTCTCCTTTAAACTTGAAAAAATGCTCATCAATCTGTCTTCTTTCATGGCGGCAAGAAATTGATCCAGTTTCAGAATTTCTAGAATTTTATCCTTTGGGACAAAACTGTAAATACATCTTTTTAAATTTCATATTTAGCAACTGAAAGGTTAAAACATATAGTGACATTTTTGTTTTATAGTAGCAACATGGGAGGATAATACTGACTAAAAAATGACATGCTAAAATACATTCCAGATGAAAATTAATATTTTGTTGCCAAATAATGAAAAGAGTGGAGGAATTTCATGCTATTACAATGTCTCAAACCTAACCACTTAGCCACATACTTTTGCTTTTAGAAAGGAAAGAAATGTGAAGTGAATATAAAGTGATTCTCACTGCACGAGGTAACATCATTCTGAATGTTCAAAGTCCTAGCAGATCACTTAGACATTGGCAGCTCTGTTATGTGTCAGCTGGGCTAGGCTGAGTGACAGCCTGAGGATTCTTTTCTCATATGTCTCTGCTCTGCGTGGGCTATGCAGCTGATTCCCTCATGAGAGTGGAGCATGGAAGGAAATCAGTGGCCATTTTGTAGTATAAACATTAATCTAGGTGCTGCTGGGAAAGGATTTTGCAGATGTTATTAAAGTCTCTAATCAGTTAACTTTAAGATATTAAGATGGAATAGTGTCCTGGATGGGTCTGACTTAATCAGTTGGAAGGCCTTCAGAGTAGGCTTAGGACTTCCCTGACCTAGAGACCCCAAACAGCAGCTGGATATGCAACTGACTGCCACCTGTGGACAAGAGGCTCGTGCCTGTGGCATTCCAGCCTGCTTGGGAGCATCCCTTCCTGACAGCCAGCCCTACTGGCTTTGCACTTGCTTAGCCAGCCTCCAAAATTGTGGAAGCCAATTCCTTGTATGAAATCTTTGTTCTGGTTCTACTTCGTGGTTGAGCCCTGACTGATATAGACATCATAGAATAAATTGGAATTTCTCTCCAGTCGTTTCACTGGCAAGCTTCAAAAGACATAAAAAAAGATATATGAAAAAAAATAACGACTTTCAATTTTAACGTTTCCAAATATAAACATCATAGTAGATTAATTGGAATGAAAATATTTAAACTCCTCATTTGTGATTAGACAGTTAATCCATTAATTTAAATTATGAGCATGCTATATATGCATATACATATATAAAAACTAATTTTTCAGTTCCGTATAAAATAGAATTTCATATTTTCATAATCCACACATGTAAGAAAGCATAACATGTGATTAATTACTAGGCATTAGGTTTATATATATTTACTATTTAGATGACAATCATCAAAATTACTTTACCTTGATATTAAGACAAAAAGCACTTCAAAGATCATTCAAAGCTGTTAAGTCCAAGCGCTGTTATTGACATTTATATACGCCAAGAAATAAAGTGGATTGTAATGTATAACCACCACATGTACTATACAAAGCAACAGTAGACTCACCTCATCTCTGCCACGATATCTTTGTTGAGGTCTTTTAGCACAAGAGATATTTTGTTCTCAGAATTTTCCTTTAGTAAAAAGAAGAATGTTTTCAAAAGCTGTGCCATGAAATCCACTATGTCTCTTGGAGGGAGAATTATTCTCTTACCATTTTCTGACTGTGTATGGTTCAAAGTGAAGTTAATGAAATTTATTATTTGAAGGTCAGTATCACTTAAATTCAAGGCTGCTTCTTGAGAACTCCCAGCTAAGTTATTGATTGAATTAATTAGGAAGCTTTCAAAAAGCAACTGAACAACTGAGAAATTAGTTAGCTGTTCTTGGTTTAGCAGATGAGTTAGAAGGGCAACATCAAAATTTCCTTTTCTAGAAATGTTTTTGAGATAATCCAAAAAGGTAGCAATATCTTTAGTCAACAAAACATCATCAATTGAACTCTCATTGGCCATAAGAAGAAATAAGGTTTGTATCATTCTGGAGTATTCTTCATTTGCATGTTTATGAAGCCAGTTTTTTGCGACCAATAAAAGATCTTCAATAATTTCTAATGCCTTCAACGATGATGAACCCAGGCTTTCCAAAAAATGGGCAAGTTGCAAAGTTATGTTTTGAAGAGCCACTGAATTGATAATTTGAATTTCTTTGTTAACTTCAGAGAACAGGGGTCTGATATTAAAGTCATGGGTTAGATCTTTCATGGTTTGTTCAAATTCAAGCCATCGTTCTTCAAAGTTGTAAGCTGTTTCACTTTTTTTAATAAAACTTGATAGCATTTCTAAACTACTACCTGTGAGGTTTGCATTCAGAAATGTCACGAATGGAGAGACTAGAGAATGAGTGCTATTTTCCAGGCTCTGATCCCTAGAAAGTGAGTTTATTATCCTTTCCAAATTTAAGGAAATATTATTTCGAACAGGTGCCTCTATGCCTTCATTAATATTAAGAATCTTGTTTAAACTAGCTAGTTTATCAAGAATGTTTTCATCTGATGTAACTTTTGTAAAGTTGACATTTTTTAATTTTTTTATGATTTGCAAAGCAACTTGCTTTATGGGACCACCAGGACAAATTTCAGAGACAATGTCATTGCTTTGATTTCCAGAAGACAGGACAAAAGGTAACACCTTATTCCAAAATTCTTGCACAGTTTTCACAAGCGAAGTTTTAACATGGAAAACTTCAGACACCTCTAGAAGAATGGAATTCCAGTCCACTAATTCATGAACTACACAGACCACTTTCCTAGTTATTTCCGTCTGTGAGCTTTCATTTGAACATTGTAAAACTTCAGATGGGGGAGACAGGTGGAGGTGGTCAAGTATACTGGCCACTTTGCTGTAAAAGGAAGAAGACATGAGCTCCTGGGCATTACAGGCTGCTAACTTTGGATTGTGCTGAAATCCAGACGCAGTGTGATTCCAGCACCAAACCACAGGAAGGCAAGTTAAAGCCTCTGAAAGAATATCTGGTTTTTCTGATATTAATTCAATTGTGTCCAAAAGAGTTTTTATCACAACAGCAAAGTCTTCCTTGGTGACATTTGAAATGCTTATACCATGAAAGAATGTGAAGTTATAGACATCCTTGAGGGCTTCTGTGATGTTTTTGTCAACTAGTCTCTTCAGGAGTCTTGCAGCATGAGGAAGCGCGTAGTACGTATCTACCACAGCATTAACATCATCTTTAGGAAATAGGTGTGAGAGCTTCAGCAGATGATTCACATTCCAAGAATGTGAGCTGTCTACAAATTTCTCCATCAAGCCAACAAGCACGTTGACCTCCAAATTGCCAGTACCTGATCTACTGATATTCTTAAAGAAATCCACTAGGCTTTCACTAATTTGTTCAAGTTGACCTACTAGCAGGTCTATATCTGTCTTCTTGAGAGTGCGCAGGAGAGAAGTTACCTTCTTTAAAACCTGAATATTACCTGGATCTTGTAGAATATTGTGATAAACTGAGGGCATTAGGGAGTTGAACACATCCCTAACCAGTTGAATACCAAGACCCACAGCTTTGGTTATTTCATGTGGAGTTATTTTTGATGAATTTTGGAGATCATGAGATAAATCGAAGGCAAGGTAACTAGCCAAATGATAAAATGAATTGCCTAAACTGTTTGTATCTTCTTCTTTTGGACTGATAGCAAATATATTTAACAACTTTTCAGTTTTAGAAGAGGAGTTATTTTCCAGGACGTTAGCAGAAATATCTTTCATAAGTTTTTGAATTTCTTTCCCCAGAGCTACTAAATGCAGCCAAATATTTTGAAATTGGCTAGGAATTTCATCTAACATTTCTATGGGTCTTAGAATTAATTCAGTAAAATGTTTCCAATTGGACTGAGATGCAAAATCAAAGTCTCTTGTTAAGTTATTGATAATCATCCTTATTTGGTTTGTGGAGTCATTTAAAGGAGTTAATAAAATCTGGAATTTTGGTATCTTTTCCTTTTCAAAGACTGCAGTAAGTATAACATTGAGAAAGTCAGTTACATTTTTCAAGTTAATATTCACACAATTTATATTTGACTTATTCAGTGAACAATGTTGTTCCTTGATATTTAACATCCAAGTAACAAGCTTCAACGTAGAGTTAATTTTGTTTTCCACATCTTCGAAACTCCTCAAAATTCCCTGAAGATGGCCTTGTGAAAAACTAGAATTATACATCATGTACAGACGGTTTATAATGTCTACCCATGCAATGCATCGTTTCAGTCTGCTAATTGTGTCCTCAGAGGAAAATGTGGAATTTAACATGGCCAGAATACGTAATGGCCTCTGTGAAGTGTTTACATATAATAAGCTGTCTTCCAAAATAAACTCGGTAACATTTTGAAAAATATCAGCACAGGACAGTAAATCTTGGTCGTGTGACACATTTCTAAGAAATAACATTGTTTCTCTTAACTTTGTGATGACACTTTCAAACTTTACTCCATAATTTGTGAGGTTATTTGAAAGTAAGTGATTTATCAAATGTACATTTCTATCTATATATTCTGAGGAATTGCTTAATTCAATGAAAACATCAAACAGAGAATATAAAAACTCTCTGCTTGCATTTGTGTTTAATGGAAATGCCTTTAGCTGATGCAGGGCGGTTTCCATGGTGAAAAGGGATTTTTCTATTTGGTCTGGGTTAAGTGACTTTACTCTAACTAACACATCACCTAATGCTACCCAGAGGTTCCTGAGATTCAGAAAATCATCCCAATCATGGAAGCCATCTGCTTGAGTTACATTTTTAAACAAACTTAATATGAGTCTAGCCGGGCGATGGGTGGGAAATACTCCCTGGCAGCTTTTAGAAATTTTCACATCACTTTCCAATTCATCCAAAAGCTGAGTGACACCAACATGAAGAGGAGTGAAAACATTCACGTCAAACTTGAATATTTGAGATATGCTTCCCCAGATTTCAGTCCACATTTGAAGCCATGAAATGGTACAGTGAACAGCCATAAACTCATTGAACACATTGCCATTTGTGGAGAAATTTGAAAGAGTTTGTGCCCATGGAAGAATAAACAAAGACCCACCATCTATGGAATAATTGACATAAGAAATGTTTTTGTTATCCAATGCAAAGCATTCATTACCCAGCAGGGCTTCTACTGATTCATTGAAGAGTTGGCTTATATATTGAAATAAAGAAATACGAAAATCTCCATCTACTATGAGCAGCCGTTTGAGACCAGTCAAAGCAGCGTAGATCACTTCCAATTCTGGGCCTTCTGTAGACATCAGAGATTGGGCTTGAATCTCCAAAAAGTTAAAAATTGAAAGCAATTGCTGACAATAAGATACATCAGAAATTCCCTCAAGAACCCGTGTTGTCTCATATAAAAATGCAAAAGCTTTACTGATGTTTTGGAAATTAAATTGCTTTATGATATCCAAAATGTGTTCTGAGAGTTGTGTAAGGAAAGATAGCAAAGACTGTCTAGTCTGAATGCTCAAGAATTTATAAATATGTTGGTAAAACGAAGAATAAATCTGAAGAAGTAAAGCTGAATCTTTGTCTTTGAAGACATTTAGATATATATAAGTCAAAATTTCATCAATTTCTTGTTTTTGAGATTCAGAAAGGGCTGAGAAAAGATGGGATGCATTCCTTATAGCATAGACTGTGTCCAGAGCTTCTGAGACTTCTTCCTGCCTCAGAAATCCAAATTCATAGAGACTATTTATTACAGTTTCACTTAAATATACAAAATCCATTTTCACAGCTGGTGATTTAGGCCAATCTGAATGGAACAACTGGGAAAAGTTAAAGCTTTTACTAAGAAGCATCTCATCCTCTGGAACAGAAAAATTTAAAAGTGTAGACAAGGTTTCTAATTTAGCTCTTTCTCCTTCTGAAATGCCATACATCCACAATTCCAGTAGCTTGGGGTTAATTTCAAAAAGTATTAATTCCATAAATCTCAAAATATTTCTTGATTCTTTCCTTATCCGGAGAGTTCCAAGAGTTTGTATTTTTTCACTCACTTCTTTGCCAAATTCCAAAGATTTCTGAACATCAATAGCAGATAAATCCCTTTCTAAACTTTTTAAATGATTTATCCACAAATGACTTGTATTCAGAATAGTCTCAGTGAGAGATGGGAGGTTATCGAATTTGGGAACACCAAATGAATTGAAAAGATTAGGCAATAATAATTTCTCCAAAAAACCCACAAATGATAAAAGAAAGTCCATTTGCTCGTCCTCAAGGGTATGCAACTTCTTTTCCATCATTAGAAGTTTCTTTGTGGAATTTAAGACCCTACAATAATAACGGAATTGCTTTAGTATCAAAATAAATAAATAAATAAATTCAAGACAAATTCAATTTATTAAATTTTCAAGATAATACATTAGACCTACTTAAAGTAAGACATAAATGAAATATTTACTAGACAATATATTTCCCAATAGGAATTAAATGAATGTGAGCATTTGGAAGTGTTTTAGAAATCCACAATGCAGATGCATACAATCTGCTTTCTGCACCAAAAACAAGGCAATTTAAACCACTTTACTGTGTGAGTCTATATGTCTGATTGTTAAAGACTAGTTTGCTAAATATGCCAGAAGAATTTTACAATTCAATTCCTTGTTATGTCTCAGAAAGTCTTGGTGGTAGAGGTTGTCCAAATGGCTGGACGCATCAGAAACTGCCGCTGTATGGTTTAAAGACAACTGTTGGGATTTTCCATTCTAGAAGGCAATTCCTGTGCCCTTTCAGCAATGCTATATTTCTCACTATTAGAAACTCATTATTTGAGATGGTGTGCTTTCCCTCCAGGTGTTAATTTTTAAAATACAAAGAGTTCTCAAAGGAGTAACTTGGGGGTAAGGACAAGTCCACACCTGCAATGAAGTTACTCACTTCCACTAACTCAGGAGCTACAAGTCTACTTTTGAAATCCTCGGGCCACGTGTGTTTCAGACTTTGGAAAGGTAACATGGTGAATGCATCAAATACGTATTAATGTTTCCCCCACCAGTGGGGACTGGGCAGCTCCCCTGTCAACTCAATAGCCCTTCTGCAGTGAAACCTGAGAATGGGCTCCATGTGTGGGGTCAACAAACTCATTAACACTTAAGTCTGCAGAATGAGTTGTGATGCCAAAAAGGAAAGCTTCAATTTTCAGACTTTTTAAGATTTCAGAATTGTGGATAAGGGATTTTGACCTGTACTGGCTATTAATCCCTTAAAGAGTGAATTACTTTCTAGACATCTTTAACTCTGTAATCCTGTTTTGTAACACACTGTCTGGCATGGGATAGATACAGGACGGATCAAATGTAGGAATGTTGTTTTCCACTCACATAGCTGGGATCTGAGAGAAGAAAAAAATGCAGGCTCAATTTAGTGTATTGTTATTTGTAGGACAGAGAGTAGCTACTTTGAGTCATGAAACATCAAAAACATTTCATGGGAAAAATTCCCATCAGGAAAAAGAAAGCTCACCTATTAGGAATTCAGTGTGAATCTTGCTCAAATCCAGCCCTGCACAGAAATATATGCACAACTACTACGCAACTAACAGTGTATTGACAGAGTAGAAGACAAAACTATCGTGTTTTGTATTGGGATCGGAGGGGTCACGGAGAAGTAATAGTAATAGTAACAGCTGAAGTAGAACCAGTACTACTAGGAGTAATGTAGCCACACTTTTTTACATCACTTTACAGTTTATAAAGCGTTTTCACAACTACAATCTCAGTTCATTCCTACAACAGCCTTTTGAGTACACATCGTTATTTTCATTTCATGGAAACAGAAACACTTTGGAATATTATTTTTAATTAGCAGATTCACACTGCTATTATATTTCAGGAACAGGACATGGCCCAAGCTTTCTCATTTCAAGCTCAGCTTTCTTAATATTAATTGTATTTATTGTCTATTCTTATTTATGCATGCATGCATTCATTCATTACGTCAAAATCTAGTTATCTAGCATCTATCATGAAAGATACTATGCCAGTTGCTATGGGTCTACAAATACAAAATCAAACATGCCCTGGGAGCATACATAGACTAGCTTTGTTGCTTTCTTTCTAGAGCTATTAAATATTTGAGATTTTCAGCAAAGTGAGGTATCATAAATTCAACATGAGCAAGGGACTGATTCTCCAGAAGGTACACCCCATTCTCTTTCTCCTGTGTACACTAATACCTGAGCTTAAAAAGTTTCCCCAGATATGATGAATCTCAGGTCTAGATAATGTTGCAGACTGGGTCTTAAACTTTGGTGTGCACCAGAACCACCTGTAGAATTTCTTAAGTCTATAGAACCTGGGTCCTATACGTGGACAAGATTTAGCATGTCTGGGGCAAAGTTCAGGCATTTGTATTTTTACTAAACTTCCCGGATAGGTTGGAACCATTCCCAAATTTGAGAGCTACTGCTCTAATGCCAAGCTTTTGTCCCACCATGTCACAACACACCCTACAAAAAATACAGTATGCTTTAAAACTATACACAATATCTACAATTATCCATAAAAATTTCCATTTCAATACATGTGCTGAAGCAGCAGAGCGGTATATAATCTGGCAGATTTAGTTCCAAAGATCATTTCTCTCCCCAAAATCTCTAGAACTACTGGAATCTTCAATCATGGATTCCATGTCTAAACTCTTAAGTAGACTAGACTATTTTTCAAAAAAAGATTTTATTTTTGGAGTATCATCTATTATAAACCATGCTTTTGAAGGAAAATCTTATTACTATAATCTGTATTTCCTTTCAAAATCCATGGAAACATGAGTCATACATTCTACGAAACAAATATTTATTGAGCACCTAATACGAAATATTGTACCAATAGCTAAATCAGGATCTCACATTTTAAAGCAAGCGTATCCTAAAATTGGGTTTTGCTTATCTTCAGATAATAGTTAAATCAAGACCAGGAAGTTGAATTCCAAAAACTTACCTGGATATGGAAGCTATTGGAGACTTGAGTAAGTTATTAAAAAATGCAAAATAATTCTCACTGATGATTTTCCAATCCATATTTTCTTCATAACAAGGAGAGTCCTCAGAGAAAGCTAAATAGAAATGTATTTCATATATTGATTTCAAGTTGGGAATAACAGTCAAATATAGTAAAATGAAAAATGCTATAGTGGTTCAGTTAATATGGCAGAAAATATAACAGAAGAGGATTATTAATCCTTCTGATGCGACCTCCACTTCTGGCCAGGATGAAGTACCACTAGCCATTGAGCAACGTAGGACAGTGATCCATGAAAGACAGAAAACAATCAAAGTGAGATCTATAATTATCCCACTTGCCAGCTTAAGAGAGTGTCCAGGCCCTGACTCAGGAAGGAGGAACTGAGCTGGAGTTGGTGGACATCCTGAGTTGAGGGGATGAGGTTTAGAGTCTAAAAGACAGCAGAGTACACAGGACAGAGACCAGAAAGGTGAGAGAGGCACAGCGGGGGCATCTGCTGGAGACCTCCTTCAAGTGTTCAGCTGAGGACTAACCAAATCATGCACGTGAAGAAGCTACCTGAGTCCAAGGAAAGATCCCCCCAAAAGGATTAAAGACAAGTGCCCAGTCAATGCACAGGGCCAGGAACATTTCCCCTAGCCAGACTGGAATGATCCATGACTCATTAGACATTGAGGAGAAGATGCAAATGGTTTTGCATCAGTAGTGGGGAATACTTACAACTACGCTGAACACTGCTCCAGTCCTGCCTAACAAAGCTTAAAGGCAGTACCCTAAAGGATCAAACTGTTTTCAAGAACATAGGAAAACAAAATAACAAGCACAAAACAAGGCTAAAGTCATAATACTTGGCATCTAATCAAAAACTACAAGGTACACAAAGAAGCAGGAAAATGTGACCCACATTTAGGAGAAAAAATAATCAATAAAAACTGACCCAGAATGGACAGAACTCAGGTAGAAGTAGCAGAGAAAAGCATTAATCACATAAAATTGTCTATACTGTTTAGTTTATATTATATGGTTTTAATACCCCAATTAAAAGGCAAAAGTTGTCAGATTGGCTAAAACAAGACCCAACTATATGCTGCATATAAGAAATGCACTTGAAATAAAAGATATAAGCTAAAAGTAAAGAGATGGAAAAGAAATACCACCCTAACACTAATTGAAAGAAAGCTATCAGATGAAGTAGATTTCAGAGGATATTATCATTATAATTTCATAATGATAAAGGCATCAATTAATCAAGAATACATAACAATTCTAAATGTTCATGCATATTATAACAGAGCTTCCAAACACATGAGATAAAAACTGATAGAAAACACAAGCAGAAACAGACAAAGCCACAATTACAGCTGGAGATTTCAATACCCCTCTCCCTATAATTGATAGAACAGGAAAACAAAATATCAGTAAGGATATAGATTTGTATGACTCTATCAAACTTGATCTAATTGACGTTTATAGAACACCCCACCCAACAACAACATAGTACACATTCTTCTCAGGTGTACATGGAACACTTACCAAGGTAGATCATATTCTAGGCCGTAAAACAATCTCAACAAATTTAACAGGATTAAAGTCATACAAAGAATTATTTCTAATTAAATTAGAAATCAATAATAGAAATGTATCTAGAAAATCCCAAACATTTGGAAACTAAATAACACACTTTTAAATAACTCATAGATCAAAAGATAAATGAAAAGGTAAATTAAAAAGTACTTTAAGGGCCAGCCCTGGTGGCCTAGTGGTTAATTTCAGCATGCTCCGCTTCAGTGGCTGGGGTTCGGTTCCCAGGCATGCACCTACACCACTCGTCTGTTGGTGGCCATGCTGTGGAGGTGGCTCACATACAAAAAAAAAGAGGAGATTGGCAGCAGACACTAGCTCAGGGCAAATCTTCCTCAACAACAACAAAAAAAAATTACTTTAAAACTGAATGAAAATGAAAGCACAATATGCCAATATTTGTGGGATGCTACTGAAAAAAGTACTTAGGGAGAAATGCATACCATTAAACACCTACATTAGAACAGAACAAAAGTCTCAAATTTATGACCTCAACTTCCATGTTAAGAAACTGGAAATGAAGAGTCAGTTAAACACAAAGTAAGTAGAAGAAAGAAAATAATAAAGATCAAAGAGGAAACTAAGGAAACAGAACAAAGAAAAACATTAGAAAAAAATTAGCAAAACCAAAGGCTACTTCTTTGAGATCAATAGCGCTGATAAACCTCTAAGCAAAGTGATCAAGAAAAAAGAAAGGCACAAACTACTGAAAACAAGTATGAGAGAGGTGATATTACTACAGACTCTATAATATTAGGAGAATAATAAAGGAATATTATGAAAACATTATGACACTAAATTGGACAATTTAGGTGAAAGAAATTGGACAATCTAGGTGAAATTCCTTGAAAGACACGATCCACCAAAGCTCACTCAGGAAGAAATAGATAATCTGAGTAGCCCTATATCTATTAAAGAAATTGAATTTGTAGTTAAAAATCTTCCCACAAAGAAAACTAAAGTCCCAGATGGCTTCACGTGAATTCTACCAAATGTTTAAGGAAGAAATAATATCAATTCTACACAAATTCTTTCAGAAAATTGAACAAGAGAGAATACTTCTCAACCCATTCTATGAGGCCAGGATTACCCTGATAACGAAACAAGAAAAAGATATTAAAAGGAAAGAAAACTACAGTCCAATATCCCTCATAGCACAAATGCAAAATGTTGAACAAAATTTTAGTAAGTTGAATCCAATAATATATGAAAAAGTAATATATCTTACCAAGTGGGGTTTATCCCAGTTATGCAAAGTTGGTTTAACATTCAATATAACATAAAATAGCAATCAATGGCATCAAATTCATAGATTCAATAGCATCAAAAATATTAAATTCTTAGGGATAAATCTGACAAAAGATATGAAAGACTTCTACAATGAAAATTACAGGAAATTGCTAAGAAAAAATAAGACAAATCGATGGAGAGATATACTATGTTCTTGAGTCAGAAGATTCAATATGGTAAAAAGTCATTCTCCCTAAATTTATCCTCTTTTTGCTGAGGAAGACTGGCCCTGAGCTAACATCCGTGCTGATCTTCCTCCACTTTATGTGGGATGCCACCACAGCATGGCCTTACAAGTGGTGTGTCGGTGCACGCCCGGGATCCGAACCCAGGCCGCCAGCAATGGAGCATGCACACTTAACTGCTACGCCATGGGACCGGCCCCTAAAACTTTTTTTTTTTTTAGTTTTTTGTGTATTGCAGTAACAATGGTTTATAACATTGTATAAATTTCAGGTGTACATCATTATACTTCTATTTCTGCATAGATTACATCATGTTCACCACCAAAATACTAATTAC